TCTGTAGAGAGGTGAACCTCAAAAGAGAAAAAGAGTTTATGAAAAAAGAAATACAACTGGCCACTAAAAATGTAGGGGAAAAGTTAAGCATTTCAAGTAACTAAGGAAATACAAAGTAATTCTCAAGATGCCATCTTCACTTACAAAATTGGCAAAGATATTTTTTTTAAAAAAGAATACTCATTGTTGGCAATTGTGCTGGGAAACAGGCTCTCTCATAGATTGTTGAGGGTGATATAAAGTGATCTAATTTTTGTTAGGGCAATTTAGAAGGATGTATTATTCATACAGGGCTTCCCTGATAGCTCAGTTGGTAAAGAATCTGCCTGCAATGAGGGAGACCTGGGTTCAATCCCTGGATTGGAAAGATCCCCTGGAGAGGGGAACAGCTACCCACTCCAGTATTCTGGCCTGCAGATTTCCATGGACTATACAGTCCATGGGTCACAAAGAGTCGGACACGACTGAGAGACTTTCACTTTCATTATTAATACAAGTCTGAAATTGGTTCATGCCCTTTAATCCAGAAACTCTCCTTTCTAGAAAATTATCTTAAGAATCACAAATATGGTGCTTGCTTTGGCATCACATATACTAAAATTGGAATAATACAGAGAATATTAACATGGCCCCTGTGCAAGGATGACATGCAAATTCGTGACGCATTCCATATTTTTACACCAATACAGTATACTAATGCATATATATGGAATTTAGAAAGATGGTAATGATAACACTGTATGCAAGACAGCAAGAGAGACACAGATGTATTGAACCATCTTTTGGACTCTGTGGGAGAGGGCGAGGGTGGGAAGATATGGGAGAATGGCATTGAAACATGTAAATTATCATATGTGAAATGAATCACCAGTCCAGGTTTGATGTATGATATAGGATGCTCGGGGCTGGTGCACTGGGATGACCCAGAGGGATGGGATGGGGAGGGAGTTGGGAGGGGTTCAGGATGGGGAACACATGTACACCCATGGCGGATTCAAGTCAATGTATGGCAAAACCAATACAATGTTGTAAAGTAAAATAAATAATTTAAATAAAAAAAAGAATCACAAATATGCACAAGGCTATAAACTGCAGTGTGATATGTTTTACTGTTAAAATAAATTATGCTTTATCCATTCCATGGAATATTATACAACAATGATTTAAGCTAACATTTATTGAATAGCGTACTATTGCCAGACACTGTGCTAAGTTATTTAAATACATTATTAATTTTTAGTCACTAGAACAAGACTACAAAGGCAGTCATCCCCATTTTACAGATGAGGACCCTGAAGCTCAGAGAGGTTAATTTCTCCCAGGCCACACTGCTAATAGGTTGAATAGAGTGGGTTTGATCCTAGGTCTGTCTGATGCCAAAGCCCATGGCCTCAACCACAGGATTCTATAACCTTTGCAACCATTAGAAGTCATATGTTAGAGGAATAGTTAATGAAATTTTAAACTGATCCTGATATAAATGGCAAATTTAAAAAACATGATATAAAATTATAACTCTATAATTAATATATAAATAATATGATGAAAATTTTATTTCCAAAGTGCAAGTATATATTTTTCACAGAAAAACTACTGTAAGGATTCATACCTGTTAGTAATGGCTGGCTACCTCTGGATAGTAGTATTATAGGTTATTTTTATTTTCAGTTATGATTTTCTGTATTTTCCATTTTTCTATAAAGAACAGGTATTACTTGTATAATCAGCAAAAATTAAAAATGTTAATGTAAAAAGAGGTCTGAAAGCAAAACTTTTGTAGCTTCATAGTTACAATATGTCCATAGCAATACTTCATTTTTTAACTGTGTGATTAATTTTTTAAATATAATTAATTAATTTTTTCTTGGCTGCACTGGATCTTCATTGCTGAGTGTGGACTTTCTCTAGTTGTTGTGGCAAGTGGGGGCTAGTCTCTAGTTTTGGTGCTTGGGCTTCTCATTGCAGTAGCTCCTCTTGTTGTGGGTTTCCCAGGTGTTGCTAGTGGTAAAGAATCCACTTGCCAGTGCAAGAGATGCTAGAAACTCGAGTTCAATCCCTGAGTCTAGAAGATGCTCTGGAGTAGGAAACGGCACTTCACTCTAGTACTCTTGCCTGGAAAATTCCATGGGCAGAGGAGCCTGGTGGGCTATAGTCCATGGGGCCACAAAGAGTCAGATATGGCTGAGCACACAAACTTACTCTTGTTGTGGAACATGGGCTCTAGGGCACTCAAGCTTCAGTAGTTGCAGCACAGGGGCTCAGTAATTGTGGCTTGTGGGCTCTAGAGCACAGTCTTATTAGTTGTGGCACACAGGTTTAGTTGCTCCATGACACACAGAATCTTCCTGGATCAGGGATCAAACCCATGTCCCCTGCACTGGCAGACAGATTCTTAACCACTGGACCACCAGAGAAGTCTTAGTGATTATTTCTTTTATATGGATGTTAGATCAGAGAGGAGCCATCTTTTCAATCATTCTTTGGGGTAATCTCTTTAGAGATGAATTATGTAGCTGTGCGATCTGTAGGGACTTTGATCACAATAAAATGTCCTTCAGACCATAGTTCTTGCATTTGTGTGATCTGTAATAGTCCCCAGTTTTTGGACCATGGACCCATGAGGAGGAGGGAAGGGTAACTTAGTTCAAGGAGTCCACAGATCTTTAAATGTGTAAGTGTTTTTCTCACTCTGTAAGTACTAAAAGTACAGCTCCTTTGTGGGTGTGAGTGGGTGATGTGAGATTTTTTTTTTAATTTTAAGAAGGGGCCCTTATGTTGGGAACCACTGAAGTAGAAACTAAAAATGGTGGCTATTTAATCAGCAGTATCAGGAATCATCCCTTATATGTAGGATCTAAAAGGACATAATACAAATGAACTTATTTACAAAACAGAAACAGATTCACAGACTTCAAGAACAGCTTATAGTTGCCAGGGGAAAGGATGTGGGAAGGGATAGTTTGGGAGTTTGGGGATGGACATGTACACACTGCTATATTTAAAATGGATAACCAACAAGGACCTACTGTGGAGCACAGGGAACTCTGCTCCAAGTTATGTGGCAGCCTGGATTGGAGGGGAGTTTGGGGGAGAATGGATACATGTATATGTATGGCTGAGTCCCTCTACTGTCCATCTGAAACTATCACAATATTGTTAATCAGCTATACTCCAATAAAAATTAAAAGTTTTAAAAAAGAGAGATGTTCAATTCTTGCCATTGTATCAAAGTTTGCGCATCTTTGTCCAGCATGAAAAGATACCACTTATATCATCTGCAGTCATTGTCTTAGCCACCCATCCTAATCAGATGTGTGTTCATTCACCAAACTGTCAATTGGTTTGGTACATTTAACTTTTTCACTCTTGTCTTACCTGTTAACTTCAAAAGCTGAACATGTCTCAAGAATAGCTTATTAAAGAACACTGATCTCACTCCCCTACCACACCAAATTTGCTTCTTCTGTTTTCCCCTCCTGTTGTTGGCAACATTATTCATCTAGCTCCCACATTATAAGCCTTTAACTTCTTCACCTCTCTTACTTTTCATATCCAAGTGATCACCAAATCCAGTGTGCTTTACCTCTTCAATGTATCTCAATGCCATGTTCTCTGCTCCCTCCTCCCTGCAACTGCCTGCCTGTTTTGACAGCTTCTAAATGGATTCTTCCTTTGGGAGACTCACTCCACAAGGTAGACAGAGGGCTCCTACTAAAATGCAAATCTGGTTGTGTCACTCCCCTGCTGAAAATCTTCAGTACCTCCGTATTGTCTACAAGATAAAGCCTAGAATCTTCTGCTTATCATTCAAGCCATGACCCAATCTGGCCACAGCCTCATCTGGTACTCCCCACCAAAGCACCTACCTGTACTCTGATCGGCACCATATATTTGATTTTTCTGCTGTTTGGAATGTTCTTTTTTTGTTTTATCTTCTCTGTCTAATGGCAATCCAATTTCTCTTTCATGACTCACCTCAAGAATATTTCCTCTAGGGAGACTTCTGACATGACCAGGTAGGGCTAACTTCATCCATCCCTTCACTCCATCCCATAAATACTTCTACCATTAATGCAGTAACACTTTATGGCTTGATTTTCCCCACGTCTGTTCTCTCTGTATGTGAACTCCTCACCATGTCTTTTCATCTCCTAAACTCCAGCTATACTGAACTTAGTGTTCTCTGAGCATGTTGTGCTTTTTTGGGTGACATCCACCTTTGCATAGGTGGCTCCCTCTGCTAGGAATACGCTTCTCCCTTTCTCCCCTTCTCTGCACAGGCAAATATCTCCGCATCCTTCAAGACTCATCTCAAATGCAATCGGTCTGAAATCTCTGCATATGCTCAGATAGAGTGAGTTATTCCATATTTTTTGCTCCCCTAACCTTCTGGTGAAACCTCATTTATAGCATCTGCTGCATAAGTATTTTATTATCATTATCAGCTTACATAGGCTTCCCTGGTGGCTCAGTGGTAAACAATTTGCTGGCCAATGTAGGAGATACAGATTCAACCCCTGGGTCAGGAAGATACCCTGGAGAAGGAAATGGTAAGCCACTCCAGTATTCTTGCCTGGAGAATTCCATGGACAGAGGATCCTGACACACTGCAGTCCATGGGGTCACAAAAGAGCCAGACATAACTGTGACTGTCCCCCTCCATCTCCCACACATTATCCCCATGAAATGAGATCTCAGAGAGCATATCATCTTTTTGTCTCTAGCACAAAGCACAACAGAGAAATGATAGATACTTCCTTGATCAATTATTAACTCAAGTCCTTTATGGTGCTTGATGGCCTGGGAAAAACTATTGGATAGGTCAGTAAGCTTTGAATACTTATTGACATAACTGGTCAAGGCACCCCTGGGTAAGTGCTGCATTTACAAGCCTTTTCTATGTTTTGACTCTAAATCTGTCCTTGTTACTCTTCCAGGTGCTTATGCTCAACAATTGATGCACTGCCTGTCCTCACCCACCCCCATGAGCCTTGGTTCTGATGCAACCTATGGTCATGCAGGGATGCCCTTACACCCTCCCACGATGTCATAAGTGGCGGGCAGCTGACAACTTCCATCACAGCCGTAGCCTCCGAAGCACCTGCCCCCAGCCTCAGGTAAGAGGCTCAGAGCAAAAGACAGAACCGTGAAGAGAGGGTGGACCTAGGCTCTGCGTGTGTTCTTGTGGGTATCCATGCTTCTTAAGGCTCAAGGGTAGTCTTCATACACATGAAACCCCTTGCACAGAACGAGGCCTCCTCTGACCCGTCCCTGTTGTTCATGAGGCCTTTTATGGGGCAAAGGAAGTGTGCTGATCTGGACAAGCCAAAGAGCCCACAATGGCTAAGGTGGCTGGTTTCATGTTAAGCTTCCAGGGTAGGTCCTGGAAGAGTGTACTCCTTCAGGGCATAGCCTAGGACAAGGCAGGACCTTCCTTTGCCTTGACTTCTCTGCAGTTTCCTCATATGCTGTACCTGCAGAATATTTCCTCTCCCTCCATTGGCTCTTCCTCTCAAGTCCCTGGTCCTACTCACAGCTCCTGGGTTAACCCCACTAAGGATCTCCTGAGCTTCCTATTGGCCTGTCCTCTCTCTCCTCCCCTACAACTGGAGTGGTGGGGCTGAATGTGCCAGCCTGTGTGTGGTGCCAGGTGGGCAGAGGGGGTGTGAGAGGCAGTAATCCCAGAGGGCAACCCACTTTCCTGGCAATGAGGGAAGTCCAAGGGAAAGTTGACTAGACAAGGGAGATGTATAAGCATATTTTGCCTTGCCCTATAATACTTAACCTTCCCAGGTGGCTCAGTAGTAAAACACCCATCTGCCAGTGCAGGAGACGCAAGAGACTCATGTTCAATCCCTGGGTGGGGAAGATCACCTGGAGAAGGAAATGGCTACCCACTCCAATATTCTTGCCTAGAGAATCCCACGAACAGAGGAGCCTGGTGGGCTACAGTCCATGGGGTGGCAAAAAGTCAGACACAACTGAAGCAACTTAGTACACATATTACTTTGGGGTTCAGAGTGTGTGAAAGTACTATGTTTCTTAGGATCTCACAGATGGGCTGAGATGCTGGGTCACTATGGGTGGTGTGAACAGCCACTGAATGTATATGGTGGAGGAAGAGAGATACCAAGGTGGCAGGGATGGAGAATGTAGGTACTGGGGAACGCATGTGGGCAGAGAATGAGAAACAATGAAGGTCTAGACAGTCATAAGGTCCAGGCCTCCCAAGCTGTTTTGACATATCTAACCAGAGAGAATTCACTGCTTGTAACATAGTCTCAAAGCCAGTGTCAACTGAGAGTCCCTCTGCAAACCTCAGTTCAGTTCAGCTCAGTCACTCAGTCGTGTCCGACTCTTTGCAACCCTATGAACTGCAGCACGCCAGGCCTCCCTGTCCATCACCAACTCCCAGAGTTTACCCAAACTCATGCCCATTGAGTCGGTGATGCCATCCAGCCATCTCATCCTCTGTCGTCCCCTTCTCCTCCTGCCCCCAATCCCTCCCAGCATCAGGGTCTTTTCCAATGAGTCAGCGCTTCGCATGAGGTGGCCAAAATATTTGAGTTTCAGCTTCAGCATCAGTCCTTCCAATGAACACCCAGGACTGATCTCCTTTAGGATGGACTGGTTGGATCTCCTTGCAGTCCAAGGGACTCTCAGAGTCTTCTCCAACACCATAGTTCAAAAGCATCAATTTTTCGGCGCTCAGCTTTCTTCACAGTCCAACTCTCACATCCATACATGACCACTGGAAAAACCATAGCCTTGACCAGATGGAACTTTGTTGGCAAAGTAATGTCTCTGCTTTTTAATATGCTATCTAGGTTGGTCATAACTTTCCTTCCAAGGAGTAAGCGTCTTTTAATTTCATGGCTGCAATCACCATCTGCAGTGATTTGGAGCCCAAAAACAAAGTTTGACACTGTTTCCACTGTCTCCCCATCTATTTCCCATGAGGTGATGGGACCAGATGCCATGATCTTAGTTTTCTGAATGTTAAACTTTAAGCCAACTTCTTCACTCTCCTCTTTCACTTTCATCAAGAAGCTTTTTAGTTCCTCTTCACTTTCTGCCATAAGGGTGGTGTCATCTGCATATCTGAGGTTATTGATATTTCTCCTGGCAATCTTGATTCCAGTTTGTGCTTCTTCCAGCCCAGCGTTTCTCATGATGTACTCTGCATATAAGTTAAATAAGCAGGGTGAAAATATACAGCCTTGACATACTCCTTTTCCTATTTGGAACCAGTCTGTTGTTCCATGTCCAGTTCTTACTGTTGCTTCCTGACCTGCATACAGATTTCTCAAGAGGCAGGTCAGGTGGTCTGGTATTCCCATCTCTTTCAGAACACCGTTTATTGTGATCCACACAGGCGAAGGCTTTACCTACCCCTTCCCCAGAGTGGGATTTTCAGAGGGTTGAGGGATTAAAAACCGTGGGTCCTTCCAGAAGACTTGTCCTGCTCATTGCCCACTCCCTGCAAGCTTTACTACTTATGCAGTGGGACATGAGGGCTTAATTTTATGACAGAGAATGGTGAGATCAAGCCCTCTCTTGGTCACAAGAACAGAAGTAGAAGGCTATTGATAAGGAAAGAAATCAAGGATTAGTCATCATTTGCCTGAGGCCCTGGCTCTGCTAGAGGGGACTGTGCTTCGCAGGGGGAACTCTGAGGGGAGAACAGGGTGAGGGAGCCTATTAACGGAGCCAAACTGGGGGGTGGCATTTAGGAAACTAGGGCTTCCCTGGCGGCTCAGATGGTAAAGAATCTGCCCTCGATGCAGGAGACCAGTGTTCGATCCCTGGGTCAGGAAGATCCCCTGGAGAAGAAAACGACAACCCACTTCAGTATTCTTGCCTGGAAAGTTACATGAACAGAGGAACCTGGTGGACTACTGTCCATGGGGTCACAAAAGAGTCGGACATGACTGAGTGATTAACACTTTCACACTTTTCACACTTAGGAAACTAAGAAGCCTGGAGGGACTGAAAGGCTAACATGGGTGGAGCCCAGTTCATCATGGGTGCTTCCATCAGAACCGTGACAATTTGGTTGTGGCTGGATCACAAGAGCCCGTTTCTAACTCTAGGGCATTCCCAGCCCAGGGAACTCTGTGAGGATGGCTTGGGACCAACCAATTACCCCAGCATAAACCAAGCTGTGACCCGGAGCTAGAGCTGCTCCCTGCTCTTTGCCTGCTGTCCCCTGCCATTCACCCCATGTGGCCCCACCCTGGACCCCAAGAAAGGCTCAGGCAGCTGCTCTAACTATTCCTGTAGGTGGGCCTCAGCATGGAAACAATGTGGAACTGTGGAAAGCCCAGAAGACTCTGTGGGAGATAAATGAGGATGGGAACAGAACCCTTTTTGGTCAAAATGAAGTGTTTTCCCTCAGTGCTGGGGCGGGGTGGGGAGTGTCAGCTTGGGAATGTTAACCTTTCCCCAGGCAAGTCTGCTGGAAAAGGAGTGGCCACCTCCAGAAGGGCCCCTCAGGTCAGTAGCCCAGGACAGCAGAGGCAGGACACAGGAGCCTCCCTGCACCGAGCTCCTGCGTTCCATCTTGCCCTCCCCCACCCTGCAGAAGTCCAGCGCGCATGCCCATAGATCATATGTATCCCCCTGGCCTTAGAGTGCAGGGGGAGGTCTGTGGGGACAAAGCTCTCTGTCCTCTCTTCCCAAAGGCAGGGCAGAGCCCCCACTCCTTTTCATTGCTGGCTTGGGTCAGTCTTCTCCTGCCCACCGTCCCACATCTCTGCCCTCTAATACACCCTGTCTCTGAGGACGCTTACCTACTAAAGGACAAGGCTGATCCTCAAGCTCATTGTCTTGCCAGGCCTTGGTGAAACTGCTTACCAGAGGTTTGTCACCAAAGTGATCTGATCTTTTCCTCCACCTCAGGGTAGGGGAGAGGGAATTAGAGGCAGAGTGAGTTCTTTGTGTCTTCCAGGCAAAGGGAACATAAATCAACAGAAGCTCCCCTCTACGTACCCCTCCTCAGCACCATGGAATGCCCAGTCCCACTCTCACCATCTTGCCAGCCTGGGAGGGCCCTCCTGGCCTCAGTGTGGCGGGCCCAGTTGGGAGCAAGCCGGAATTCCCCAGGGACAAAGCCCTGATTCACCATCCCCAATCCTGACATAGCCGCCCCCTCTGGATTCCTGGGGGGTCAGTAAACAAACAGGGTGACAGATCCCGCCTCCTGGCCTGGCTCAGCTCTGCTCGCCCTCCCTGAGGGAGCCTGCTCAGAGCCTGTCTGGACTTTGCCTGCAGCTCACCAAACGCTGGGTCTGGGTTCATTCGGAGGAGCATCATGGGGCTGCCTAATCCTGCAAGCGGGTCCCCAGGCGGCACAGGTAGGGTCCACTCATGGGAACGCAGAGCAACTGACTCTAGAGCTGTGCCCTGGAGCTTTGCTGTTCTCCCACTTCTCCTTCTGTGTATGGCTGTGAGCTGTGGGAGTTTTTTCTTTTTTTAAATCTTGAATATCCTTTATTCTATATATTCATGTGTGCTGAGTCACTCAGTCATGTCCAACTCTTTTTGACCCATGGACTACAGCCCGCCAGGCTCCTCTGTCCATGGGGATTCTCCAGGAAAGAATATTGGAGTAGGTTGTCATACCCTTCTTCAGGTGATCTTCCCAACCCAGGGATCGAACCTGCATCTCCTTTGTCTCCTGCACTGGGAGGTGGATTCTTTAGCACTAGTACCACCTGGGAAGCCCTCTCTTAGTACAGGTTGGTTATGCTTAACTGCTAACTCCTATGATTATCACTCTTACTATCACAAATTCTGCCAGCACTATGCCCAGATGAGATCCTGGAAGTACTTGTGTTAGGTTAGAACTGTTCAAATTGCCCAAACACTGGCAACCATGGCATTCAAGGTAAGCCGTTTACTCAACCTTCTAGAAAAGAAAGCTGAAGGGCTATTCTACAAATTCAGAGAGAGAGACAGATAGAGAGAGCCATCTGTAGTAGATGTCCTACTTCCAAGGGGGCCTTGGTGCCCCCTTCTCCCTCTTCACCACTTGTATTTCCCACCACAGTCAGGAGAGTCCTAAAGAGCACTGCTCATCTTCAATGGGTTGAGAAAGAGCTAAGACAGGATTTGGGGTCCTGATCTCCAAAGAACTCTGACCAGAATCAACAGCTAAGAGGCTCCCATCATTTGCTCACCCTGTAGGGTATTATGGGGGTTGGGGGAATGGGGGTTGTGCCAAATAGCCCTTCAGGAGTTAGCTATCTCCCTCGCAGATCAAGACATGCTCAGGCAGAAGCAGAAGGGAGTGAAGGACAGGGGAGTGTGGAAAGGAAATCTCAGCCTGGGGAAACCCATCTGCATGCCTGCCTGTCTACCTTCTCCCCTTCTGTGGAAGGAAAATGGCCCTGCTGGTGGCTGAGCCTCCTCTAGTCTCTCCTTTCCCCCAAACCATACATCTTTCCCACACAAGACTCGCCAGGCAAGTTGGGAAACTAATCTTTCCATTAAAACCACAGCTCAAAGTGCTTAACATGTGTGTTAAGCCCATGTGTGTGGGCTACACTCCATGGGGTCACAAAGAGTTGGGCATAACTGAGCACAGCACAGCAGTAAGAGAGGACCTTGCCATGAACAGAACCACAGAGTCTTTATTTCTCTCAACCACTCAAACACATCCTAGAACCAGCCCCTTCTCCCCTCCCCACCCCTTTGCCCCGTTCACACTTGTCGCATGCTTGGCTTGGCGCGGACAAGGGTGTAGCACACTCCAGAGATTGTAGAGGTGTCTGTGTTTCTATACAGGTTAGAGCTTCTGCCACCACCCCCGTACCTCCTCACGATAGTGCTGGGGTACCCTGCCTAAGTCCAAAGCTATTCAACGGGTCTGTTGGTGCCACCAGAATCCTGGAACCACCAGCCATGAATCTGTGTTGGAATGAAATAAAAAAGAAGTCTCACAATCTCCGGTAAGGCCTGGAGCCTCAAAACAGGGGCTTTGGGGCATTGGCGGGGATGGTGTTTGGCTCCTCTTGCTCGTCACCCTCTTCTCAGCCTTCCTGTCAGCTTCATCCTCTTTTTTTCCTCCTTTTCATGCTCTGGTGCTGGGGGAAGGACCCTGGGTCAGAAGTCAGGAGACTTGGATTTGAGTCTCGGTCTTTTTCCTTTATTTTTATTTATTTTTTTAACACCAAAAACATTTTGTATTGGGTTATAGATGATTAACAATGCTGTGGTAGTTACAGGTGAATAGTGAAGGGACTCAGCCATACATATACATATATCCATTCGCCCCCAAACTCCCCTCCCATCCCGAGCCTCAGTCAGCTGTGTCACCTTGGAAAATTGGTTTCAGTAATCCCTGAATGTTGGCTTCCACTTGTTTGGATTTTTTTTAACAACAACAACAAAATGAGTAGAGGAATAATGCTTGTTCTGTTTTTCAGTGTTGTTACAAGGACTCAAATAAGATATGAAAATGCTTTTTGCACTTAAAAGTGCTGATGTATAAATGGAGGATTTGATTACTGCCCGCCTTCCTCTTGTCTTCTATCTTAGTAGCTCTCATCTGCTTTTTCACATCTTTAAAAAAAATATTTATTTATTTTAATTGCAGGATAATTACAATATTGTAGTGGTTGTTAGCCCTCTCTTCCCACCACTGCTTATCCCCTACCCATGCCTCCCTAAACTAAGAGCAAATCAGTAGGAGCCTGAAGGCAATTTCTACCTCAGTTGTCCCTCTTTCCTCTACCCTTCTTTATAACTTCTCTCCCACTACCCTTCCCCAAACACACACTTTTCCTCTCTACTCTCTATCATCAAAGACCAAACTCCTGGCTTCTGGTGGGTTCTGGTGGAGATGAGGAGTATATAGACGCTGAAGGAATGCAGGCTCTGAAATCAGACAACCCTGAGTTCAAATCCAGTGACTTTACTGTGTGACCTTGGGAAAATTACTTAACTTCTCTGGTCAACACCAGTGGCTACCTCTCAAGGTTGCTCTGAGAATTAGTGGAAGCAAAAATTTATGTAAAACCTTGGCCGAAGAGGTAGAGGTGGAATGACCAGTTACCAGTCACCTAAGGGGAATGGGTTCAATGACTGCACACAGCCTGGACTGGCCTCTGGCTTCCTACCACTTGGACTTCAGTTCATGGCTCATTTGTGGGGAGAGGGGAAGGCAGACAGAGATTATTATGCTGCACATGTTTTCCTCCTTCTGTATGTCAAGCTTCTAGCCTATGTTGCCCTCATACTTTGGGACCCCTGGGCTGCTTGTATTTGTATGCAACCTCACACACATGTGTGCCCACACTCAGTCACCTGGCATACCCTTTCCACCCACTGCATTGCTCCCGCTCAGAAGGTAGCCTCTGAGAGGCCTCTGAGGGTGAACAGTTTGGCATGACTTGAGTTCCTCCAAGACAAGAGGGCAACAAGACAGCTGTCTCCACTAACGCCCTTGCTTACTTTGCTACCCTTCACAGCCTGATTCTGGGTGCACAGCTGAATAAACTGAAGTCCACCAAATGTTTTGGTACTGCGCTCTATGAGGAGGTGTCTTGGGAGGCTCTGTGGGTGGGTCAGAGGGTGGGTTCTGGGCCTTCTCCCACTTCGACCAGAGAAGCACCTCTTTGATTTGTTTATATAGTAAGATTCCACGTACATATCTGCTGGGGAAAAATGTTTTGCCACTTAACAAGAGGACTGAAAATCACTGGTTTTACCATTGTGTGCAGTGCCCGGCTAGAGGCCTTCTCAGACCACAGTGGAAAGCTTCAGCTCCCTCTCCAAGAGATAATTGACTGGCTCAGCCAAAAGGATGAGGAATTGTCAGCTCAGCTGCCCCTACAAGGGGATGTGGTCCTGGTGCAACAGGAGAAGGAGACACATGCGGTAGGTTAGAGTTACAGAGGCTGTGGTGTGTAGTCTCTTGGTTGGGAAGGGATGTCTTCTGCAATGCCCTGACAGACAGATGCTCAGTCTCTGCTTAGATGCTTAAAGTCACTGGAAGCTGTATGCAGTCCTACTGGTCTGTGGATGGCGCTCCAGAGAATAAGTCAAATCTCCCCCCTCTATACATTCCATCCAATATTGGCCTCCATTAAAATGCTTCCCTGATTTTTAACGAGGACAGGGGAAATGAACATAAAATAATATTCAGTGAAAAAAACACAAAATACAAAGCTGTTTATAGGTAGATCTCAATTGTATAAAAATCAAAATAGATGTGTACGTGTGTATACACACATAAGAAGGAACTCTATCAAAATCTTCACAATGGGTAACTCCAGGTGATGAAATTAGTTCTTTTTAATTTTCTTCCTTTCATCCTTTTCTGAAATTTCTAAGATTTCTGTGACATATCTTTCCTCTATAATCAGAAAATAACAACAAATGTTTCTTAAAATGAACACAGATGCACTGGAAGAAATGATCATTATGTGATGTGATGTGACAGAGGTGTCAGCTCTCACTACAAAGGCAATCATATTATACAAGTGTATCAAATCAGTATATTGTGCTAAATCAAATCAGTACATTGCGTTAAGTTTACACAATGTTATAGGTCAATTATAGCACAATTTAAAAGATGAATACAGGATGGAATACAATACAGCAAGAAAATAAACTACAATGGCTGAATTTTAAAGACAATATGTTGAGTGAAAAAAGAGTCAAATACAAAAAAGAGTACATATAGTGTGGTTCCATGTATATAAGGTTTAAAATTTGGCAAAACTAATCAGTGGTGCTACAAGTCAGGATAGTTGTTACCTTGGGGGAGGGGAGGAGGAAAGAGTGACTGAAAGAGGTCATGACAGGGCCTTCTGGGATGCTGGTGGAGTTCTGTTTCTTTATCTCAGTACTGGTTACAGATATGGAATCACTTTATGAAAATTCATCAAGCTGTGATGAAAAGTACACTTTTGATTTACATACTTGTGTGTATTTTGACAAAAATTTAAACTTTTCATATAAATCTAGCACATCCTGGTTTTGATTCCTTAAAGCCCCTTTCAGAGGACTTTCTGAGTCTTCCAAAGAAGCAAGATTCCTAGCCCCAAGTCCCCATATTTCTCTCTACCTGTGGCATAGACAGATCTGTTTCAGAGTAAATAGACCTTCCAGTATCAAAGTTATTATTTTGCCTATAGAGAAGACTGATCCTCTTTTAGTCTGAGTAGCCCAAAGGTACAGGATATCAAGTTGCACTGAGGAGAAGAAAGATTGTCAATTGCAGGATGGAATTCAAAGCAATTGAAAGATTTTCCTTCCCCATTGACCATGTTGCTAAACTTCACAGGCCTTTATGGATGATGTCAAGTCTCGAGGCCCCTATATTTACTCTGTGCTGGAATCAGCTCAGGCCTTCCTGTCCCAGCACCCATTTGATGAATTAGAGGAGCCTTGTTCTGAGAGCAAAGGTGGGTGGTCTTCCTCTCTTTCATCTTCTTCTTGAGCTATGAACCATTAATCACCTTTATGTCCATCCCAAACACATTTTCTCAGCTGTTACCTAGGAGGATAATTTATTACTAGAAGTCCAAAATTGGGAAGGAACAAGATTCACACTCTAAGAAAAAGCAAAGAGAAGACCCTGGAGCAGGGGAGACGAGCGTTTGGCCCAAAGCTGTATGTGGCTCTCTCGAGCATCATGTGTGGCCATCTAAGAAGGCATGAAAAAGAAATAAAAAAGACTCAAATGCATTAAACAAACTCAGTAAGTAAAAGTAGTAGTGTGTCCTTTTAAAACGTACTGCTTTATTCCAGTAGAGAAAGGCATGTGACACTGCTCCAATCAACTAGCAAATAAAAATTCTTTCAAAAAATCTTTAAAAATTAGGTGATGGTACTTGAGAAGAAAACTGACTGTGGCTCTTTAATTCTGACCTTAGTGATTTCTGGTTCTCTTTCTCTGATGGAGTGGGTCACTGTAGGTCTAAGTTTAAATAAGGCAGCAGGGTGGGATCCATGGTGTTTAGCTCCAAGTGATGGCCCAGCAAGCCCTCTTCTCCAGAAAGAAGCTTTGACACTCTGAGACTGGCTATGAATGACCTGACAGGACCCTTCGATAATGGACCCCTGTGTCGATGCTGTTGACCCTCTCAGTTTACTTCAAGCCCCTCCTCCTGAGTACTAACCAATACTCAATTTACCACCCAATGGGCCTCAGATAGAACAAGCTCAAGAGAGCAGGGCAATTCCAATTAGCCTGGAGTTTGGGAGCTCTGAATCTACTTTTCAAGGGAGGTCTGAGGGAGGAGAAGGAAAATTACAATTTAGAAGCCTAGGTGGAAAGGCTGGGAAAGTTATACTAACCTCTCCTCTGCTGGACCTTCATAAAATGCCTCCCTTCTTTGGAAGGAACTGCACAACAGACACTGGGCTTCCCACATGGTGCTAGTGGTGAAGAACTCACTTGCCAATGTAGGAGACATAAGAGATGTGGGTTCAATTCCTGGGTCAGGAAGATCCCCTGGAGGAAGAAATGGCAACCCACTCCAGTATTCTTGCCCGGAGAATCCCATGGACAGAGGAGCCTGATGGGCTACAGTTCATGGGGTCACAAAGAGCTGGACGTGACTGAAGCAACTTAGCACACACACACAATAGACACTAATGCAAAATCACATTCCAAGGTCATGTGACTAGAACTCTGGATGATTGGCCTTACTGTGCCTCTTAAATATTTTACTCACTCTCTACCTTGCCCATTTCTTAAGAATATGAGGAAATCCTCATGATACTATAGGTAGAAAACACCAAAATGGTCTCTTGACTGTGATGGTGGATCCATGAGCCTATACATGTGATAAAATCACATAGAACAAAATACACACACATACACAAATGACTGAAAGTAAAATTGGGGAATTCTGAAAAAAATTTCTGGATTGTGTCAATGTCATTATCGTGATCGTTATACTATAATTTTGCAAGATGTTACTATTTGGGGAAACTAGCTAAAGGGTACATGAGATCTCTATTATTTCTCACAATTACATATGAATCTACTATGAACTCAAAATTAAAGTTTTAATTTTTTAAAAAGCCACATTTATAAAAGGAGCTCAGCCATAAAAATATGTATTTGTGTGTGTATGAAAACACACACACAGCACACACATGTTTACAAAAGGCTGTTTTTGTCTTTCCGTGGGCTACCCTTGCCTGGCTGGCCTGACCTGACTTCATGACTGCCCTTGCAGATACCTCTCCTAGACAGCGGATCCAGAATCTCAGCCGCTTTGTGTGGAAGCAGGCAACAGTGGCCAGTGAACTCTGGGAGAAGTTGACAGCCCGCTGCGTGGACCAGCACCGCCACATTGAGCACACTCTGGAGCAGCTGTTGGAGATCCAAGGGGCAATGGAGGAATTAAGTGAAACTCTGACCCAGGCTGAGGGAGTCCGAGCCACTTGGGAGCCCATTGGGGATCTCTTCATTGATTCACTTCCCGAGCATATCCAGGCTCTTAAGGTATGCAGGCCCTCTCCCCTGGCTACAGCCTACCCGGAGACCAGATACTCCACCAAGACCCTGACAGTGTTCCTGATGCTGAGGCTCCACTGTTGCCCTGGACTTCAACAGAGTCTCTCCGAGTTTCTCTGCTGGATTTGGGGGCTAGTTTAGCTGAGGGCTTACCTGGTTGGGGAAGTGCTTCCCTGGTGACTCAGATGGTAAAGAATCCCCCTGCAATGCAGGAGACCTGGGCTCGATCCCTGGGTTGGGAAGATCCCTGGAGAAGGGCATGGCAACCCACTCCAGTATCCTTGCCTGTAGAATCACATGGACAGAGGAGCCTGGCAGGTTGCAGTCCTTGGGGTCACAAAAAGTCAGACATGACTGAGCGACTAATACACTTAGCTGAGGTCTCCTCTGTCCTACTGTCTTCTCTTTCCCTGGTGTTTTCTGAGAGAAGAAAAGGAAGTAAGGACAATGCCCACCCCCACCCCCCATACACACACATCTTAGTCTGGTTGCCCTAATATGCAAGCATGGAAGCTGCGCTACTAAAACAAAATCTCTGGGTAAAGAGGAAGGAGTTGGTGTGAATGACTAATGGTTCCTCTTTCCTACTATCTACCTGCTGTGGGACTTGGATCCTGGTTCCATAGCTATTCAAGGAAGAATTCTCCCCCATGAAAGATGGAGTGAAGTTAGTAAATGATCTGGCCCATCAGCTTGCCATTTCTGATGTGCACTTGTCAATGGAGAACTCCCGGGCTTTGGAGCAAATCAATATCCGGTGGAAACAGCTACAGGTAAAGGAGAAGCCTAAAGTGAGCTATGGGAGAAAGATTTGGTATAACTAGGCTTGGTAATGGGGGGACTTCTCCAGGCCTTCAGGAAGTAAAGGGGCATTGAAATGGGATCTATGTGGGGAAATAGTTGTATAGAATTTGGGGCCAGGAAACAAGCTCTCAACCTCTAAACTGCAGGGAGTAATTAAAATAGTCTGAGAGGGACCTGTCTGCATTTGGGCACTCAGAGTAGATAGGGACAGATGAAGAGTGACTGTGGCCTGGAATTAGAGATGCTCTTCTCTTACCTCTGGGAGTGACATGGGAGAACTAGGATTTGGGTGAATGGTGGGAGGATCTGGAACTGGAGAAGCAGCAGCCTTGGAGGGAATTCACAAAGATAACTGGAGGCACCTGGAAATCCCACCCTGGATATGTGGAATGAGGCCACTGACTTCCTGCATATTCTTTCCATAGGTGTCAGTTGGTGAGAGACTTAAGCAGCTTCAGGATGCTCACCGGGACTTTGGGCCTGGGTCACAACACTTCCTCTCCTGTATGTGAGACAAGCTATACTTCACTTTGTAGAACCTCAGCCACTTTCCAATAGAGTCTACTGTTGTCTTTTAGGGACCTGGTAGGAGCCCAGTGTACCTTGGCATCTAAGAAGCAGTAGAATAAAGCAGTGTAGGATAGTGGTTAAAAGTACAAGCTCTTGAGTCAGAGAGATCTGGATCTGAGTCAGAGCTCCTCGACTTCATAGCTGTGCAAGCTTGAAAAAAAATTGCTTAACCTTTCTGAACTTCAATTTTTCCATATATAAAAAGAGGGAAAAATATGACCTAGCTCATAGAGTTATGGGAACTACATAACTTTATTGTTCCAAAAATATTTATTGATGTCCTACCATGGCCCAGGTACCATTCTAGGCACTGGGGCTACATCAGTGAACAAAACAGAAATTCTTGGACTTGGAGAGCTTACATTCTGCTAGAAGAAGCCAAACCATAAACAAATAAGTGAGTGTGTGCGTGTGTGTGTGTGTGTATAAAATGTCAATTGGTGACAAGTGTTCCAGAAAAAAGTAAAGCAGGGAAGGTATGGGTTAGGCAGTGCTGGACTTAATGGAGGAGGCATTTCAATTTTGAATAGGGTGGTTGGGAATGTTGTCACTGAAATCACGGCAAAGAGGTGAGGGAATGAGCCATGTGGATATCTGAGGGAAGAGCAGACTGGGCAGAGGAAACAATAACTTCCAGGACGTTAAGGCAGGGGCATACCTGAGGAACAGCAAGGAGACCAGTATAGAAGTGAGTGAAGAGGAGAGAGAGCAAGAGATCAGAATGGGAGCAGGAAGCCAAAGCATGGAGGGCCTGGAGGGCTATGGTAAGAATTAGGATTTTATTCTGAGTAGAATGAAGAACCCTTGCAGGGGTTTGAGTAGAGGGATGACATGATCCAACTTCTGTTTCAACAGAGTTTTGGAGGTCTAGAATAGGAGGAGGGAGACCTGTTAGGGTACATATTGTGATAGTCTAAATGAGGGATGATGGTGACCCAATCAGAGTGGAGATGGTGGAAATGTAACTAGATATGAAAATTAGATATGCACACAGAGCATTCAGCAGAGTATCTGGTACATAGTAGGAACTCAATAAATGTTAATGGCAATTCAAACTATTGAATTATAATGACTGGCATGCAACTACACCTGCAGAAGGCTCTTGTACCCAGGGAAACTGCAAGGAAGAGATTGACCAGATGACCGAGCCTCTCCTGGAACATCTGGAAGTTAAAGACATGGAACAGAGAGAAGCATCATTTTCCAGAGTTTCTCACCATAGATGAGTAGGCAGTCCTGTTCCCCATTGTCCCACGGGACTGAGAAGCTGGGCCTTCTGGGGGAAGGGCTTTGAGTCCCATGAGGAAAGTAGAGTCACTTCATATCCACAGTAGCACACCAGCTGCTTGCAGCTGAATGGACAAAATGACAGCCTGCTCACGGGGAAGATTGTCAGGGTGGCCAAGGCCATCTGTTCGTGCCCTTGTCATGTCTCTGGCACATGAGGGTATCAGTGACAACCTCTTCTCTGTCCCTCACCCTAACATCAGGGAGAGAAGTGTCTTCATTAGAAGTGTTTGCCCCATACTCAGGTCCTGTTAAGAGCTGGCAATGAGACTCAGGCATCCCCTTTTGGGCTTAGCTATTTCTTTGGGAGGATAGTACAGGGGAGTAATCAGGGGCCAGAAGAACATTAGTGGCCAGCTTCTTTCTCTTTCTCTTTTCCCTCACCAGCTTCTGTTCAGGTTCCCTGGGAAAGAGCAATTTCACCCAATAAAGTTCCCTACTACATCAAGTGAGTAACCATCTGAATCAGAAACAGGTCAATCACCTGCCCACCCTCTCCCTGCCCTGTCTTTTTTTCTACCTATCCCTTTCACCCCTATCTGTTGGGATTCCTCCATCCAATCCAGTTTTTCCTCTTACTCATCTCAAGAGCTCAATATTCTACCTGGGTAAAGGTGAACCCTTGTGCTTTGGAATCTTCAGGGTTCACCCTCAGATCCTGATGCTCCTTGTGTCCAACCTATCACTGAGGGATGTGTGCATGTTTGTCTGTGGGGTGGGGGGTGATATGGACCCTGGTGCTACTGATGCTTTTATTCGTAGCCACCAGGCTCAAACCACATGCTGGGACCATCCCAAGATGACAGAGTTATACCAAACTCTAGGTAAGAATTCAAGGTTCCTGTATAGGGTGGAGATCTATACAGTTGCCTTTGTCCTATAAGAATACAAGGGAATAGTATTCCATTGTGTGTACGTATACCATATCCTCTTTATTCATTCATCTGCTGATAGACAGGTTGTTTTCATGTCTTGGCTACTGTAAATAGTGCTGTGATGAATATAGGAGTATATATATCTTTTTTAATTAGTGTTTTAATATTCTTTGAGTAAATACCCAGGAGTGGGGATAGCTGGATCATATATATACACACACATGCATGCACACACACATACACATGGTAGAATACAATCATAAAAAAGGATGAAATCTTGCCACTTGTGACAACATGGATAGACTTTCAAGATATTATGCTGAGTGACATAAATCAGATAGAGAAAGACAAATACCATATGATTCCATTCATATGTGAATATAAAAAGAAAATAAATGAACAAACCAAACAAATACACATAGATACCAAAAAACAGAGTAGTGGTTACCTGAAAAGAAGGGATAGGGGAAAGGCAAAATAGGTAAGGGGATTGACTGAAAGGTGACAGGTGGAAATAAAATATTGTGTACATGAAACTTATATAATGCTATAAACCAGTGTTGTCTCAATAAAAATAAGAACACAAGGGAATCCCATCCAACAAGCAGATGAGGGTGGAAGTGAATCCTTGTCCTTTTTCCAGTAGCTTCCTTCCTTTCCTCTCTGCATCTCCAACAGGAAGCTCTATTCTCCCCCTAAACAATTTTATCATCACATCAGGGAATTATGCTTATAGATATATGCTAGATCTGCTTTGAAAGACATTGTCAAGGCTATGATGAATGTGACTCTCATGTGCCTTATCTTTCACTGCTAAGAGAGACTCACTATTATGTTGTAGATTTTACCCATGTGGATGCATGTGACTATAGTTCATTCATTTTCACTGCCGTAGAGTGTTCCATTGTACATACCACAGTTTCCTCATCCATCCTACTGTTAATGGACATCTGGGTCATTTCTACTTTGGAGCTAACAAAAACAGTGCTGCTTGGTAAAAAAAAAAATGTGAAAATCACTGCTCTAGAATATATACAGCTGGCTGGGTTGTAGGATATATGAATGTTCAGTTTTGCTAGGTAATACCAAGTTGTTTTCCAATATGATTGTGTCAGTTTACACTTCCACTAGCAATTCTCATTCATCCACATCTTTGCTGACACTTGCTACTGTCAGACTTTTATTTTTTGTCAATCTGACAGGTGTAACATGATATATTGTTGTGGTTTTAATTTGCATTTCCCTGATCTGAGTGTATCTCTTTCCATTCTTGCAGCTGATTTGAACAACATTAAGTTCTCAGCTTACCGCACTGCCATGAAGCTACGCAGAGTCCAGAAGGCACTGCGCTGTAAGTTTCCCATCACACTTCCCTTATGACCTTCATCCTTCCTCATCAATTTGCTGTTTCCCACTCCCATCCCACCTTGGCCAAGGTTGTTGGTCAGCTTTGTGGAGACTCTCCAAAGGTTGGGATATGCTGGCTGTGGACACCTGATCTTTCCAGGGCCCTTCTATTTTCTCCAACCTCTAGACTCGTTTCCAAATTAACCCACAGCTCTCCTCTTCCTTGTCCCTTCTTCCCTGCCCAACACAGACAATCAAGCTAGTGTTTTATGGCAAGAAGTATCCAGCAAATGGTTTGGAGCCATTGAAGGCTTGTGTTCTTTCACCATCTTGGGGTTATTTGATGTAGCAAATGCCAATGGTTAGGGGACAACATGACTACAGATATAATGTGCCTTCTGTCTTCTCTCTGAGACACTGTCCATCCAATCTTCCTGGACCAAGTGTATCTGGCTAGGCTGATACCAGGATTGGGGGTAATTAAAAACTCCTCCTGAGGTATGTCACATTCACACAGCCATACACGAGCCTTCATAACCAGTGTCTAGGTTTTCAGAAAAAGGTTCATGGACCCACCTATTTGCAGTTGAAATGCAGTTTCAGAGAAACTGAAAAAATGGTATGGTATTTGGTCCCTGGGAGTTTACCCAAATCCCACCATCTTCTTGAAATTGATGTCAAGGATCATTTGGGTATAGAAACATTTGGGGTTAATTTAGGGGTTCTTCTGATGCTTTCTCCCTACTTGGGTTGTGTGTTTTGGTAAAGGGCAAGCTTCTTTCTTTCTTTTTTTTTTATTAGTTGGAGGCTAATTACTTTACAGGCAAGCTTATTTCATACTTACAAATGGTTAGTCTGGAGATGGAGTCACATTTGGTGATGTTGGTGGCCATATCTCCCTGTCTAGTCCCTGGGCTTCTACTTTTGGCTTTACTTTCTTTTTCTCTCCTTTCCTTCCCAGTGGACCTGGTAACTTTAACCACAGCCCTGGAGATCTTCAATGAGCATGATCTGCAGGCCAGTGAGCATGTGATGGATGTGGTGGAGGTCATTCACTGCCTGACTGCCTTATATGAACGGCTGGAGGAGGAAAGAGGCATCCTGGTCAATGTGCCGCTCTGTGTGGACATGAGTCTCAACTGGCTCCTCAATGTTTTTGATAGGTAAGGACTTGCTGCCCTGGCAGCCTCCAGGATGAAGTTCCAGTGGGATATCTGGAGTGGACACAGTGGGAAGGGTTTGCTCCCCTGGTGGATCTGGACTCAGCTCAGCTTGGGGTATGGCTGGCACCAAGTCCTGCTGGGATCTACCCTGTAAGGGAAGTGACTGCCAAGATGTTAACCCTTTACAGATATTCAAGTTCTCAGTTTCTTCTTTTAAACCTAGTGGTCGCAGTGGAAAGATGCGGGCATTGTCCTTTAAGACTGGCATTGCCTGCCTGTGTGGCACGGAAGTGAAGGAAAAACTGCAGTGTGAGTACAACTCCAAAGTCCGGAAGAGGAGTTGGGTGGAGGGAGGGTTGTGGTGGGAGGAAGAAAAGTGCAAGATAAACAGAAGTTCAGTCTTATGACTCAGCACAGGGCTACTCAGGCTACATTGTAATCCGTCCTGGTACAGGCTATTGCAAAGAATCTACAACAGCCAAAGGCCGAGATGGGTCTAAGGCCCGTTATCATTCCCACTGTCACTCCAAGGACATTGCTTCCTTCTGATCTGGTGTAATTACTTGATGGAGATCTGAGTTGGGATTCTGGGATACCCAGGACCTGGACTTTCTAGTTCCATTTCCCGGTGGACCATCAGGCTTAGCCCTCTCCCAATCTGATGCTCAAACTATGTCACATGTTCTGCTGGAGACTTTCCATGGATAACATGGGCAGTATGCAATAATCCCATTATCTGGGGGGGCAACATGTAATTCTGTAAGTTTAAACCTCTCTGGTACAGTATCTTTGCTTTCCCTCTCATCCTCTATCATTTGTACAGCATTTTGCATTTTTCTGCAGCAGCATCATTAGTTGTCAGGTATTTAATGTTCACTGACCACTGTGCTAAATGTGGTGAGTACAAGATCCAGTTAGATGTTGTCCCTGTCTCAAGTGGTTTATAGTCCAGGTGAGGAGACAGAAGTACAGAGAAAGCACTTCTTAGAGTGAGTGCTAATTAGAATAACCTGAATGGGAAAGGATATGTGCTATATCAGATCACAGAAGAGTGAGGACTGCAATCTAGGAAAGCTTTACAGGGAAGAAGACTTTTCAAAGTACATTCATAGCTATGATATAATTTATTTCTCCCAACATTCCTTTCAGATGGTATGGACAGTGATGATGTAGTCTTAATTTATAAGTAAGGAAACTTCAGCATAGAGAGATTCATGACCTACCCAGGGTTTCCCAAGCTAGTTAGTAATGGGTCAAGAACTAAACCCCAGGCCCTCTGCCTTCTGGTTTTGTTTGTTTTCTGGGCCTTAGGTGAGGCGTGAAGCAGAGAGACAAGAAACTCTGGAGGAGGTTTTTTTAAATTGGGTTAGAATAGGGGAGTTCCCACAAGGGCAATGTTCAAATATAAGTCCCATAGGCTGTTCCACAGTCATTTAGAGTGAATTCTTAGATGACCAAATGGGTTGAATTATGTCCTCTTTATAGATATCTGTGCAGTGTTTCTTTTCATTTGTCTGGATAATTGAGAGATTGCTGCAGTATGAGACTACATGGGCTACACGAACAGGAGGGGATAGGGCAGGCTGACCTTGATTCATATTCAGGAACCTTTGAACCCCCAACCCCTTGATCTTGCTTCTTGAGACTGTTTTCCCAGCAGTGTATTTGTGTCTGGCACTGCTCTCACACACAGCTCACTCTCTCTTCACCCTTCCCTCCTCCTCTCTGTGTTCAGAGAGAAAAAAGTGAGATAGATACAAATAGGGAGAGCATTAGAATGTTCTTAAAGGGCTTCTAGAAGATCAGGGACCTTTAGGTATTCCACTTTCAAAAGTCATTAGCTAAGTCAGTGCACTCTTACCCTCTCTTCTTTTTCTCCTCTTTCTCCTCACACCATTCCCTGGCCATTTCTGTTGTGGACTTGGCCATGATTTATGGTGGGGCCAGCAGACCTCTTCAGCCAAGTGGCCAACTCAGGCAGCCAGTGTGACCAACGCCATCTTGGTGTCCTGCTTCATGAAGCCATTCAGGTGCCCCGTCAGCTGGGGGAAGTGGCAGCCTTTGGTGGCAGCAACGTGGAGCCCAGTGTCCGCAGTTGCTTCCGTTTTGTGAGTATGGAGCTAGGGAGGGAGGAAAGGAGGGATGATGAGACAAAGATTGGGAAGAAGGGAGGGAGGACTCAAAGCTGGGCTTCTGTTCTTGTTTTGCTTTGCTTCAGATATTTGTTTCAAGTTTTATTGGCATATAGTTGCTTTACAATGTTTTGTTAGTTTCAGGTGTACAGTAAAATGATTCAGTTATACATACCCATTCTTTTTCAGATTCTTTACCCGTACAGGTTATTACAGAGTACTGAATAGAGTTTCCTGTGCTATAGTACTCATATGGAAGGGAGTTTGTTGGGCTGGAACAACAGGGCAGACGGTTCTCTGGGCTTTTAGGATCAGAGTCCTGTGGGGAGGGCACCAGGTCCACTAGGACAGGGTAGAAGGTGGACACCTCTAAAGAACAGGCAAACCCAGGCCTTGCTGTTTCTCTTATTCCCATGAGGGCTGCCATTCTAGGCTCAAGACGCTTTGGGCCTCAGACATTGCTGTCAGGCTTCTTGTTTCCCCAGAGCACTGGGAAGCCAGTCATTGAAGCTTCACAGTTCCTGGAATGGGTCAACTTGGAGCCCCAGTCCATGGTGTGGCTGGCTGTTCTACATCGGGTCACCATTGCTGAACAAGTAAAGCATCAGACCAAGTGCTCTATCTGTAGGCAGTGTCCCATCAAGGGCTTCAGGTAGGGAAAACAATACCTGCTGGAGTGATACTAATAAAAATAGGCAATGTCACATATAAATCATATATTGCAAAATGATGCATTATGTAGTTATATAATTACAACTAATCCATTGTATATATATATATATGTTGTTGTATATGGTTGTAATCCTTTCTATTACATTCTGTTTAATTTTTGAAAAAGAAAAAAAGATGGAATATTTTTTCAGTTATATTATGAAGTATTCAGACCTAGAAAAATGTATAGCTAAGCAAAGTGGGGGTGGAGTGGGAGAATAGCCCAGAAAAGGAAGTAATTTGTTCTTTGTTCCCAGGGAGCATTAAGTAGAACCCAAAAGCTCCAGCATCCTGATCTATGAGAACACCTATGTACCAAAAGGTGTGCTGGCAAATGGTTCACAGCCTACTCTCCAGAAAGCAGAAGAGAAACCTGATAGAGCATTGGCTAATTTCCATGGTATAGATACTCCCACTGTGGCCAAAGTCAGGCTATCCACAGGAGGTCAGGAAGAGATGCACAGCTGTACACCATTTATAGTATTTCCACCACAGGATACAATAGATGTAGACAACCTCCAGAGCATAAATAATAGTGAAATGGGAAGCAATAAGCTTGAGTATTTATTACTTTAGTTTTTAATACTCTTTGCTTAATTGTGAGTTTATATGATTTAATTTTTAAATAATAGCTATAGTTAATAACCGACTCGGAAAATTCCTGAAATGTTAACAACTGGCTCTCATGAGCTGGTATGAGCTGGCTCCAGTACCCCATGGTGGGCACCCACCACCAAGCTGAAGAAATAAACAAGATTTTACAATATATTTATATATATGATATATATTTATATATTTTATGTCTACTTATTTATATATTATAAACATATTTTATATAATATGCAAAACAATATATTTGAAGTTTCCTTGATGACATTTCCCTCCTACTCCCACAAAGATAACTACTGTCCTGAATTTGGTTTTCATCATAAAATGCTTGTTTTTATCCCTAGAGACTCAGCAGTAAAAATATGCCTGCTAATGCAGGAGATGTGGGTTCGATCCCTGGGTCAGGAAGATCCCCTGGAGAAGGAAATGGCAACCCACTCCTGTATTCTTGCCTGGGAAACCCCACGGACAGAGAAGCCTGGAGGGCTATAGTGCATGGGGTTGCAAAGGAGTTGGACATGACTTCTTGACTAAATAATAACAACCTTTTTAAAGCTCTAGCACATACTCTTTTTACAACCAATCTGCTTTCTATAAGCAAATGAGGCACAGAGGTGGAGTTTACACTGCTGGCTGGTGTAGCTCTAGGACAAGATGTCAGACCCTCTGACTGCTCTAAGTCTAGATACTTCACCATGCTATGCTACTAGGTCTGGGCAGTCCAGACAGGCTTTGGAATTGGATCTGAATGGCTAGTCTATATTCAGTCATAATAGAGTTATTATAAATAACTTTGAGGAATAACTTTTAGTCAACATGCCCACGGCTGATAGAATCAGTTGTCTTCATAATGAAGGTGTACCTTCTCCAAGGAAGCTGGTCATACCTGTGAAACTATACCCTTTCAGGCCACCCTTGTTTAGAAGGCCATTTGATATAATGAGCTCTTTACCTCTGTCCCACCCTCCCTTTTATATATTTTTAATTAAAGTATAATTGATTTATAACATTAAATATAATTGATTTACAACATTGTGTTAATTTTTGCTGTACAGCAAAGTGACTTGGATACATTATATATGTATTCAGAATGTATATATATACATTCTTTTTAAAATATTCTTTTCCATTATGGTTTATCATAGGATATTGAATTTAGTTCTCTGTATACAGTGGAACCTTGTTGTTTATGCCACCCTGAAAAAAGATGGTGAGACAATGCTATTTCCCAAACTTCCTGTAACTCTGAGCATGTGATTTCATGGAGATTTATGGTCTCTGGAGTAAGACTAGTCATCTAGTGAGGACTCTGCCACTTCTATGTGTAGGAGGTTAAATGCTCCATGTACAGGAGGTTATAGTTCCATGCTTCACCCTCTTCTAATGTAGGTGTGAATTTGGATGTTTGGGGGAGGGGAAGGTCACTAGAGTACATTGGATCCTCTTTCCCACCACCTCTCCTCTTCCCAAGGTACCGGAGTCTGAAACAGTTTAACGTGGACATTTGCCAGACCTGCTTCCTGACTGGCAGGGCCAGCAAGGGCAACAAACTTCATTACCCCATCATGGAGTATTACACCCCGGTATGGAGCCTCTGGGCTGGGTGGGAGCGGCTGGCAGCTCTCAGCTTCTGGGTGCTTGATCCATTTTGCCCAGCATTGGCTCACTGTATCATGCTCTCCATTGGGGAGCATCCTCCATACAGGCCTGGTGATTGACTGGTTTGAGGGATCCAGGCCTGTTCTTCTAGCAGAGCTTGTCCCTCATCCTCATTCTTGGTCATCTAAAAGGCATTCACTATTCTCCTGCAGAGAAAAGTCTAGGAAAAAAATAGAGCAAGGCAGTTCCTGATGACTAGACTTTGATCCCTCTATTTAGTTTTTCCTGCTTAGCTTCCTGGATCATTCCTGTTCCCTGGTCTTCACTTGCTACTTTGTCATTGCTTCCATCCCTTTTAGTCAACACCAAAGTTTAAAGTTTGTGCTCAGATTCATTACTCAGTCTCTTGCGGGAAAGGGAGGGAATGCTCTTTACCTGGGTCTCCAAAACTGACTTGGCTTTCATTGAAAACTGGGCCCTTCATAGCCTCCTGAGACCGGATTGTTCAGCATCCCTGAACTCTAGCCACAGAGTTTCTCCTCTGCTGTGTTCAGGACCCACAGCTCCAGGCTTAGCTTCCTGAGCTGACTCTGCTCCCTAAACTCTTTTATACCTTTCCCCACAGATAAGACCAAAGTCCCAAGCATATCTCTAGCTCTCCCCACTGCTCTCTCCCATCTCCTCTCCTCATCTCCATAATCCATCTCCATAAGCTGTCATCTCTTCTCTATGTTTTGTTGGCACAGAAACATGTGTGACCCAATGGAAGCAGTGATGTTGCCCTTTAAATTTTTTATTTTATTATTATCTAAAACTAAACATTCAGCTTCCCAGGTGTCACTAGTGGTAATGAACCTGCCTGCCAATACAAGAGATGTAGTAGATGCGGGTTCAATTCCTGGGTCAGGAAAATTCGCTGGAGAAGGAAATGGCAACCCACTCTAGTATTCTTGCCTGGAGAATTCCATGGACAGAGGAGCCTGGCGGGCTACAGTCCATGGGGTCACAAAGAGTCAGATACAACTGAAGCGACGTACCAGGCACTGCAAAAATAAACATTTATTAAAATCATGCATGGAAAACTGGCTTGAGATGGTAGACTGATAATCCTCTAGCTCCTGCTCATCTTCTGCATCTCTAGAATATGTAAAAAATATCTAAAAGTTAACAAATATATGATCATTGTAAAAGATTCTAATTTTTAGAGGTGTTAAAGTATAAAACAAAGTCCCCTTTTCTCAGTATGTTCCCCACCCCTCCAGCCCAAGTTCCCTGAGGCAACCAGTGTTCATAGTTTGGCACATATCCTTCTAGATCTTTTTCTAGGAGTGAGATGTAGTAAAGATGAATAAGAGTTGATTACCAGTCACTTTCCCTGCTCCAGTGGAGCAGCCTCACCTCCCTAGAAAAGCCCATTTAGGGTGAGTCCCCCTGTCTTGTCTCCCCTCAGACCACATCCAGTGAGAACATGAGGGACTTTGCCACTACTTTAAAGAACAAATTCCGCTCAAAGCATTATTTCAGCAAACACCCTCAGCGAGGTTATCTGCCTGTTCAATCGGTGCTGGAGGCTGACTACAGTGAGACGTGAGTACTGGAGGCTGAGCAGGGGCTGCAGGCATCCTCACTGAGCCTAGGGGCGTGCTGTGAAGAGGCTGAGTCCTGCGTGGGCAAGGGTAGTGCTCCAGGGCAAACCCAACTAGTGACAGCGCAATTCAGCTGGGGCTTGACCAGGAATCTGACCCAAGAAACAGATTTGAATCCAGTCTCTGGATCTTGTTCCTATCAGCTCTTGCCCAGCTCTCTAATTCGGTGGTGGTGATGGGGTATGTGTGGATGGGTGGTGGTGAGGAGACAGGCTGCCCAGCTACCCACTCTTTGGTCTTCTGAGTCTTTGCTGCTTTCTTCTAGGCCAGCTTCTTCCCCGATGTTGCCACATGCTGACACACACTCCCGAATTGAGCATTTTGCCAGCAGGTACCACCACATTTGGGGGAGGGGAATTGTAAGGAGTCCAAGGGGGAGGGGTTTTCAGTTGGGGCAAGAGAATGGCACCACAGCCAGGGGGATGGGCACAGTGAGGATATGCAGCAGCCAGCAAGGCCCAATGTTTGGGGGAGGGGGAGTTGGGACAGCCCTCCCAAACTCCCTGATTATCCTCTTGTGTGATTAGAGTCCTTGAGAAGAAAGCAGGCTTCATATTCTGTGTTCCCTTATGTTCCTGCTCTTTCTTCCCAGACTTGCTGAGATGGAAAGTCAAAATTGCTCCTTCTTTAATGACAGCCTGTCCCCGGATGACAGCATGTGAGTTTTCACAGCTGCTTATTTGCCAGGAATAGCTCTCCTTGGGAGATCCCTCTGCCACTATTTGGGAAGGGTATATCCTCAAGGGAAGAGGGGCGTGGTGGTTAGGGTCCTTGACACCCTAAGGAAAGAAGGCTGCTTTCTGGGCACAGTGTTTAATGAGAGAAGCAGTGTGCCCTCTATCAGCTGAACTGGGCAATGAAGGATGTACTACCTCCCTGCCATCCATCAAGGTCCCTTCCTGTTGCAAGATCCCATCCTATTCCCAACTCTGAGGGAAGAAGAATATGCCCTCATCTAAAGTTGCACAAATGAGCCATATCTTATGCTCAAAATGCCAATGCCCCATCTTGAGTCACATCAACCCTGGGGAGATATCAGGGGCTTGACTGAAGTGTGGCCAGAGAGATTCCTGGATGCTCTAGCCCAGAGAAGGGACCTGCCATTTCTAGGGAAGTTCCCAGCTTCCTCAGAGGACCTAGGAACTGTCAGTTACATGGATAAATCCAGTCCTGAGACTGGGACTCAGGCAGGCCACAATTCCCTTGGGGATGGGAAAGCGAAGGGGGATAGGGTGGGGGAACATCACAGAAAGGGAAGTGATTTGCTCATTGTTTCCCAGATAGCTACAAGTAGAACCCAGAAGTCCCAGCATCCTGGAAGCACTCTCTCCTGTCACACCCAAGCACGACCCTTGCACCTTTGAACACTTTCATCCCTCTTCCTGCTGTGTGCAGCTTAGAGAGGGAATTCTCCAACATGTGTCTTGGGACTTGAGCTGGGAGCTGAGAACTCACACCCTGAGTTGTTTCCCTGTTCAATGCCTGGCCCCTCTTTCCTCTCCCCACACCCACACAGAGATGAGGACCAGTACCTGCTACGGCACTCCAGCCCCATTACAGACCGGGAGCCAGCCTTCAGACAGCAGGCACCATACAACATGACCACGGAAAGCAAAGGGGAGCTTGAAAAGATCCTAGCCCACCTAGAGGATGAAAACCGGTGGGTGTGACAATGGCATAGATCTGTGTGGTTTATAGAGTCAGACAGCTTAACTCAAGTCCTGGACTTCCATATCCTAACTCTGTGGCCTTGAACAAGTGACTTATATTCTGTGATCTTCCATTTACTCATCTGTAAAATGGGGATGGCGATTATAGTACCTATGTCTGAGAGTCATTTGTGAAGATAAAATGATCAGGCGTATAATGTGTTAGCCAGTGTCTGTCTTATTGAAAGGGTTCTAAAATAGCCCTTTCAATAGCTAAAATAAAAGCTAGCTATACTAATAATTGGTCTTCCCTGTTGTAGCTCAGCTGATAAAGAATTCTCCTGCAATGCAGGAGACCCTGGTTCAATTCCTGGATCAGGAAGATCCTCTGGAGAAGGGTTAGAATACCCACTCCAGTATTCTTGGGCTTCTCTGGTAACTCAGATGGTAAAGAATCCGCCTGCAACATGGGAGATGTGCATTCAATCCCTGGGTTGGGAAGATCCCCTGGAGGAAGGCATGGCACCCCAGTCCAGTATTCTTGCCTGGAGAATCCCGTGGACAGAGAAGCCTTGGTGGCCTACAGTCCATGGGGTTGCAAAGAGTCAGACACGACTGAGCAAACAAAACACACACAATACTAATAATTATTTGAATCCTTTTAACTCAAGCTGAGTATCTCCAAGTACCCAGGAGATGCCTGCAGAGAGAATGCAAACACAGAGAATACAGATGAGATGCTGCTTGTCTCTGCCCTCAAGGAACTTTCAGTTGTTGGAAATGAAAAGAAATCCTTATCACTTAGTGAAAGTGGTAAGAGGAGGATGATATTGCATAGAGCATGTGAGGACTGGAAGAGCGAAGGTGAAGATGATTACGGGGATGACATTGATCTCTCTAAAGTACAGAGGGCAGCAGGAGTCTGAAGAGCATCTAAGCCACTTTGGGGGTGTGTCCTAGAATAAATAGCACCCCCCGGAACAGTGCTTCTCAAACATCAGTGTGCATACAGGTCACTTGGGAAGCTCGGTGAAATGCAGGTTCTGATTTGCAGGTCTGAGGTGAGGCCTCAGTTTCTGCTCTTCTAACCTAGAAGTTGCCCATGACACTGGCTTAACAGACTGTGTCTGGAGTCGCTAGTCCTTAGAACAGTGCCTGTTTGCAAAGTGTCTGTTACTGGCTCTAGACAAGATAAATACATAAATACAGAGTAAGCTTTTAGAAACTTTCATAGCAATTTGACATTGCCATGATATCCAAGCATATAATGAGTGGACTTGTCTTCATTGAATAGGATGTAGACCAGTTTGAGTATTGCTGAACTTTGTGTGACAAGTGCTGTGTGGCATGACCAGTGTACTAGCCAGATGCATTCAGACCAAACACTGATCCACAGTGGACTGAAAAATCCCCCTGGTTTTTCCTTATGGATATTTTGAGAAGTATTGTGCTAGAGCAGGGGTGGGGAGGCCCTGGGAAGCACTGGAGAGAGAATGATTTTATTGCAAAAAAGGGGGAAAAAAAAGTAATATCCCCCAAAGGAGACCATCTCTTTGGAATCTGTTTCCTTGATGACCCAACATGGGTGTTTAAAGTGGGCCAAAGAGGAAGGTGGCAGAGATAAGAGGAAAGATGGGTGATCTTTTGTTTATGTTATGTCTTCCCCTGGAATCTAAAAATCTAAAAGTGGAGTAGGTGAGTCAGCGGCTCTAATGCCTCATTTATTTGCAGAATGTGTTTCTGCCTGGCTTTAAGGTCAGAATTAATCCCCAAAACAGCACATCAAAGTGCTGAGAAATTTGTTATACTAAATATCAGCTCTCTCTGCACTGCAGCCTAAGAACAGCAGAGTAAATGACACATACGCTGGAGAGGAAATGGATATGGCCATTCAGGCAAGAGCACGGCTGGAGTGGGGGTGGGAATGGGAATGCAAAGGGATTGTTCACACTTGGCTCTGAAGGAACACTGGGCCCTGGACAGTCAATACCCCATGAGGACGTTCAACCTTGGCTTCTCCATCCTTGGCAGGATTCTCCAGGGAGAGCTGAGGCGCCTGAAGTGGCAGCATGAGGAGGCCGCTGAGGTACCCCTGCTGACTGAGGGCTCTGCCGAGGTGGCACAGGACCACTGCAATGAGGAGCTGCTGGCTGAGGCCCGGATCCTTCGGCAGCACAAGAGCCGCCTGGAGACGCGCATGCAGATTCTTGAAGACCACAACAAGCAACTGGAGTCCCAGCTGCAGCGCTTAAGGGAGCTGCTCCTACAGGTGGGTCTGGGGCCAGGGGAAGAACCAGAGCAGCCTCTCGGCACAGGAGGGCTGGGAAGACTTTCTAAAGAGCACTGAGCTGGCAGTCAGAAAAGATGGGGTAATGAAGGAGCCACTATATCACAGCGCTCAGCCAATTTTCTTGCACTGAGCTTCCACTCTATCCTTCTGTGTTACTCTCAAGTCACCGTGGGGCCTCGGGCAGAGGGAGGGCTTTTGGGGGCTCATGTCCCCAACCCCCATTTGAATCTGGTATTGAAAGAACAAGTTCAAAGAACCATCCAAAAGGTTGATTTTGCTACTTTAATGTTTGCTGCAAAGAAGCAAATTTGGGCATGCTTGGCAAAAGAAAGATTTTAGCTGTGGACAGATCACTTGTTACTTTTTATCCCTTTCCTCTTTTTTTTTTTTAATTAATTTATTTATTTTTTTTATCACAACCATAGTATCCCTTTCCTCTTTGAGAGGGAGTGTATAGGATGTAGTGTGGTTCAGAAGTTCAACAGCCCTGAAATTGAATATGGTTCTGCCAATTAGTGGCCTTGGAATGTTAGGCAACTTCCTTTAGCCTCCCTAAGCCTGTTTCCTCATCTGTAAGACAGGGATAGAAATATACCAACTTCATGGAATTGTGGTAAAAATCTAATGAGATTATACATTTATTGAATTTAGCATGATGCCAGAAATATAGTAAACACTTCATAAATGTTACCTATTGTCATTATCCATACTAGGGAATACCACACCAGATCTTCCAAGAGATGGCCTCTGGATCAATTTCTGGAGGTCTTAACAAATGATATTATGTCATAAACCAAGGATCAGGGGTGCAGCTCTATATTTCCAGATGGAATTGGGTTCTAAATAGTTTAATTATAGCTGAAATGACAAGCAAGAGATCTTCTGGGGGCAATGCCATCCTTATAAGAACTGGGAGCCTTTGATACCTGCTGTTGAAGGAAGAAGGTATTTAGTAATTAAATATTCTAAAAAGTTTCCTGTAAGGAGAAGCCACTGACTGGGGCACCATCAAAAGCTTCTTCAGGTCTTAGGGCAAAGAGATGGGCATGAGATCTCTAAGGACCTTTCTAAGCTCAAGAGTCTGTCAAAGTAAGGTCAGGAAGGCAAAGTCACTTAAGTTATGCCTTACCTCTTGCCAGCCACCTATAGAATCCAATGGCAATGGCTCTGTGGGCTCGTCTCTGGCTTCCTCTCCACAGCAGTCAGAAAGCAGTCACCCCCAAGAGAAAGGACAGACTACTCCAGACACTGAAGCTGCAGGTGAGTTCCCTCAACCCCTTCCTCCATGGCTTTGTCTTGCCCCAGGTCTCCTGCCCAAGGTTCTACTAGGGTTGGGACTGGTTCCTCCTCATGTCTTTGAGCTTAGGGTCAGGGATGATTGGATTATTGACTGATTCATTCATTTCTTTAATCTACAAATGTATATTGATTACCTCATACATACCTAGGCATCATGCTGGGAAGATATACATGTATAGGTTTATCTTTCAGCAGGCAGCATCCTACCTCGGCCCCTTGACCTCATAAGGGGATCTCTAGTTGTATTCCCAAATCTCTCTTTTCCAATTCAGATGATGTGGGATTGAAGAGTCAAGATGTCAGCCTCTGCTTGGAGGACATCATGGAGAAGCTCCGCCACGCTTTCCCCAGTGTACGAAGTTCTGATGTGACTGCCAATACACTGCTGGCCTCTTGAGGGAACCAGAGCCCCATCCTATAGGCCATGGTCCTCTCCCGGTTCTGGCCAAAGGCTTTCCTCAGACTTCATCCAACCTTCCCAGTCCCCACTGGCCCCACTCTCCTCAGCTAGAGTTATTTGTGCTCTGGGCAGCAGCAGAGATTTGGTGGTATGAGATGTGTGGGTAGGGGGGCTGGGGGGAGGGAGAGGCATGATTCCTCTGACTCTAGAAAGGTGCCCTTTACTTCAAGTTTGAGATTAGTCCCTTTAGTATACTTCTGTTGCAGCCCAGGCTGATGGCACTTGGAAGCCATTCAGATGGGTTGCCTTGTAGAATGAAGCAGTGCCCATTGATCCCTTTCCATTCTCCGTGGAATGATGGAGATGTAGGGTACCTAATGACCACAAGGCTCCAGAATTATGAATATACAGAACTTAGCCCTACTCTCTGACCCAACACAGGGGAGGTGAAGGGGTAGCCTGAAGACACTCCCACCCCCCAAACCCCTGAAAAATCTGGGCAATGTGTGTCATGTAACTTCTGCTCGAGGGTATAGCTCTAGTCCTTCTGATGCTACCTAGATGTTGTTTCCTCTGTGAATATCTTCAGTTTCTTCTGCCTCAGTTCCTGGCAGACCTTTCTGAAGGGGGAACAGTTCATTCAGGTTCCTATTTTCACCTTACTTTGGGAACAGTAAAGAAATATGTAGGGGGCTTAGATATTTTCCCCGGATCCTCCTCTTTCCTGAAAGGCTCATCATTCTGAGAGACCAACTCTTCTGAGTCGGCCCTCACAGCCCTGGAGGAGGGCTGACAGCTTCTCAGCAAGGGGGTCTTCTCCTTGGGAGAGGAAAGGAAAGCCACCCTCTAGACCAGAGGAGTGTGACTGTCCCACACCCTTGACGGCTTTGAACCTTCTTTCTCTTAAGTTGAATCAGATGAGGTGGCTGATATCCCTCAGCTAATCAGAAGGCAGATGCAACAGTCCACCCTGAATAGCAGCCCTTTCCTAGGATCCACGGGCTTCAGATCAGCAAGTTGACCACTTTCCACACAGACAACAGCAAGACCTTCCTTTGCATAAAACCTTTCTTTCTAACTCTGGAAAATGAACCCAATCCTCAAATTTGTTAGGCAGATTTCTGGATAAATCTGCTTAGGCAATTTTATCTAACTCTTCCTAGGCAACACATACCATGATTCCTTTATCCAGAAACTGTTCAGAGTAGATAGTGGGGGTAGGGGGGCGTCGGGGGAGCAGGCTTGGGAACTTTGAACAGAGTCAGGGCTCATTTAGGCAGATTTCTGTCAAAAGGAACTTTATAACTTAGAATCCTGCAACCGACTTAATTTGCCTAAGTTTATATAGATACTTAGCTATCCTTCATATCTACTGTACATCAGTACTACCCCAGACTCATTCACACATTAAATTCTAATACCTCTTGAAGTATTAATGTTCTGCCTTGCTCTTTGTTAGTCCCAGCCTCTGGATGGACAGATAAGATGCCTCCTGGCTGCTCATTTAGGATGTCTCTCCATTCTTATTTGAGGTGAGCCATCCTCAAGACCAAAGCAACAGAAAGCCTGTGGCCACAGAGGAATCTAACAGGAAGAGTCATTCTGTTCTCTTCATTCATTCTAAATCTTGTTCCCTGAAGACCTGATCCTGGGGTGAATTTTTCCGGGCTTCTCTGAATAATGGTTCAGGGGCCAAAATAGAGCAAATCCAAGCTCTACCCACCCTGTGCATAAAGGGAGAAACAAATAGCCAGTCTAAGACACAGACTATATCCTCTTGCCCCTTCCAATTTCTAAGTCTGGCTCAGGGCTTTAAAGAAAGTAGAAATTGCCACCAAGTTTAGAAGGGTGTGGGATGGTTGGAGTGCTCTCTTACGATCGAGCAGTAGCTAGTGGGTAGATCTGCTGGGAAACTAGATTTATCTACTACAGGGCATGGAAGGCAGTGGCTTTGGTCCAGAAACCTAGGATTGCCTCTTTCTAGAATCACCAAGGGGCACTAAGCCACAGGTTCAGGGTGTCATACTTTATCATGACAATTGCCTTAGTGCTCATGAGGTCTCAGGGCAGGAGAACTGGTGAGCAGATGGCACGTAGGCATCAAACAAAGAGCCTGGACATCAGTTAGCAGGCTTGGCAGGGGACCTATATTTGTAGGAGCCTAGATTATAGGTAGGGGCTTCCCTGGTGGCTTAGACAGTAAAGAATCCACCTGCAATGCAGGAGACCCAGGTTCGATCCCTGGGTTGGGAAAATACCCTGGAGAATGGAATGGCAACCCACTCCAGTATTCTTTCCTAGAGAATTCCATGGACAGAGAAACCTGGTGGGCTATACAGTCCACAGGGTCTGTAGTTCAAGGAGTCAGACACGACTGAGCAACTGAGCACATTAAGGATAGGAGAAATTTTCTATAGGACTGAGAGCTCAGGATCTTTGAGGCATATGCCTGCCTAAGCCTGAAGAAAGCACATGTTATGAAACAATCTTACTAGGAAAATTCTGCAAAATCTTTTTCCATAATCTCCACTATGCCTGAGAGATCTTGGGCTCTTGAGGGCCTAAGACAACTGCAGTGGGTCATGGTAGAGAAGATGTAGATCTCGTTATGTAGGATTTGTGTTATAGGTGGACTGAAGCAGCAGGTCAAGAGTTGAATTCTCAGTAACAGGGTCCCTGACACTTTGTGGTCCTGTGTTTACCTTGATGCCTGAGGTGAGTATATGGCTCAAGGGTCCAGTGATAGTTACTGCAGCATAGTTTGCCCACACTACTTCACAGTTTGCCCACAGTGAAGTAAACAGATCTTTGGGCACTGTGAATTCAGATGAAGGTTATATTTCCTGAGATGTGTTGTGTGTTAGGCCGTCTGTTGTGTATCTTATCTCCTAGAGGTATAGTGTGTGATGCTGCATAGTTTATGGCTCCATACTGAAAGGGTGGTGAAGGGGGTTGCTGGATAGGCGGCCTAATGAAAACCTCTGACTTGTGGGATTAGCATCAGTGGTAAGGAAAGTGAGTGTTTGCTGGGGTTGTGGTCATATAGTATGGGGAACAGTTAGGATTGATAGGTGATATATTCTTGACAGAATCTGACAGAGGCCAAAAAGCCATTAGGAGGGTGCCTCTGCTTCGAGTGAGAGCAGAGTGGAGTCAGGTTGACTGGGAAATTATTAAGGAAGGCTGACTGGTTGGAGGACATCTGGCTGTTGGTTGCATGGTTCCCTAGAGAGGGTCCAATCCAGGATATGCATCCTTCCCTCCAGGATGGAAAGGCTGAAACCAAGGCCTTCAAATGCCCATTTCCTTCAAGGCCCAAAGTTTGGAGATATTTCCTTGTAGAGAAACTTGCTTGAGTTTGTCGTACTTTAGGGGCTGGGCTGGCAGGCCATGGTAACGAGAAATCTTGAGGTCAAACAGAGGCCAGTCCTGGGTGATGATTTCCTTCCGGATAAATTTTAAGGAATACCCATGATGCTTGCGGTGTGTATTTGGGATCTGGGCTCCATATTCAACTTCAGGCTAGAGCATTCCTTGAACAGGCATTCTCAATGACAGAGTCATGGCCTCTGAGACCATTTCAAGCCAAGACTCTCATCAAAGTTCTGTTAACATAAGGGACAGATAACTAAGAATGTAACTGTCCTAAGATGAACAGTTCTGGAGGAGAAAGGTGGGGGCTTATCCTAGGGCTGTGGAGACTTAGTTACTTAGCTGGGCAGCTCTATCTCTGGGCCTTCCTGCCAAAAGCCGGCTCTGAGAACAAAGGAATACTTCAGCTCCTTGTTGTTCTTTAAAAAGCAGTGACTGTGGGAGAGCAAAAGGCTCAAGGCCAAGGCTAAGCTCCCAGGCTTCATCTCCTCTCACAGCTGCCACATTTGGAGGGGTACCTGCTCAATGTCTTTGGTGTCCTTAGGGCAGTCTTGAGGCCAGATTGAAGCCTATGATGCTGCTCGCTGGCTACAAACAGCTGGTGGTCATAAAGGTGGTATTTGGTATTCGGGGAAGCAGAAAGGGTGGCATATTAGTCTAGAAAAAATTGGGATGAAAAGGCGGGGCTGGGAACAAATTGGTTAACGTTGCCACTCACTGTGGTGCTTTTCCCCCTTTCCCCTAAATTCTGCTTTGAAAAGAATAAATTCGTATTTGTTTACTTTGGTTCCTCTGGTTATGCTCTTTGACTCTGACACTCCACATCATTCCCTTATTTGGGTGTGGGAGGAGAGGGTGGAGCCACGAATCCACAAGAACACTGCAAAACACACCAGAAGAGTCCAACACCTACAGGACAAAACAGACACACCCCACTAGCCTCATCCACCACTGTTACCTGGAGTGGTCACCTCTTAAGGCCCCAGAAAAATTAGCTAGTTATTCACTCATGGAATTAGCTCTTTATAGCAATGGTTCTTCAACACTGTCCTCATCAGTCTGAGGAATTTTTCACCACCCTAAAGCAGTAAGAGAAAAATATGGACAATGCAGTGAGTTTCCATAAAGTTACATATATTCAATTTAAAAATCTATCCTTTATTCTGAGATTATGGCTATATATTTTGGGGGGATGTCTGTGTTAAATGTCCCTGTGAATTGGTGGTAAGTTCTTTTTTAATACCCTTTTCTGGCAAAATAAAACCCTGTCAGTCCCTCTTCCCCACCACCAATCTTCTTTCTCACCAATCTATGACTTCATTGTCAATGAAGTTGACATGAAAAATGATGTGAGTCACATATGCAGCTTAAAATTTTCTAGCGGCCATAATAAAAAAGGCCCAACAAACCCAAATGAAATTAATTTTAATAATAGCCCAATATATCCAAAATATTTTCATTTCATCATGTAATCAGTATAAAACCATTACTGACATTTTATTTTTTTAATAAATCTTAGAAATTGTCAGGGGCTTCCCTGGTATCTCAGCTGGCAAAGAATCCGCCTGTAATATAGGAGACCCCAGTTTGATTCCTGGATCAGGAAGATCCCCTGGAGAAGGGAACGGCTACCTCCTCCAGTATTCCTGGGCTTCTCTAGTGGCTCAGAAGGTAAAGAATCTGCCTGCAATGTGCGAGACCTGGGTATGATCTGTGGGTTGGGAAGATCCCCTGAAGGAGGGCATGACAACCCACTCCAGTATTCTTGCCTGAATCCCTATGGACAGAGGAGCCTGGTGGGCTACATTCCATGGGGTCGCAAAGAGTCAGACACAACTGAGCCACTTTCACTTACACTTTCAGAAATTGTCAAGCAGGGTACAAATTCAGCTGGTAAAAAACTAGAAACCCACATAGAGCCAGGCACTTTATTACTGAAGAGACAGTAAAAGCAAGGTCAGCAATGGGATCTGTTCCCTTTGTCCCTGTTGCACAGGATAACACTGAAACAAAAGGGGCCAGATGACATGCAACAGGAATGGCGGCACACTGTGTTCCTGAATAGCAACTCCACACCTCCCCCTAAGCAGCTTTATGGCTTGCAGCAGAACCCTCTGGGGCAAGGACAGGGGAGAAGGGAGGCAGGCAGAAAAATCCCATGCCTCACCAGAATGAGGGAGGCAGATGAGAAATTGCCCCATGACAGCCTCCCTCCAAACAGGAAGCTGAGTGTCTCGAATCCCCATGAGACTGCCTATCTTTCCAGGTTACAGGAGGCTCATGGAGCATTCCACCAAGGCCTGGGGCTTCCTGCAGTTGAGCCTTGCCTACATGGAAAGACACACCTCAATTTTGCCTAGCCATAGGTCAAGTGCTCAAAAGCTACATGTGGCTAGTGGATACCCTATTGGACAGCGCAGTTCTGTAACATGCCCAAGTCAGAATCACTGGGCTATAGAGAAGGAAAATTTCATGATGTATCATGTGTGTGTGTTGGGGGTGAGGAGGGAGTCAGGGCAGCTTATTGCTGCCAACTTGGTGGGGATTGGAGGACAGTGGTGAAGCAGTTACTCAGGGTTAGGAGATGTGGTGTTGGAGGGAACAGAAGGGCACCACAGATGCATGAATTTGCTCCTTCCTGTTGTCTTCTCTTCCCCATGGCCTCTCACCAGAGCTCTGGCTGCTCTCGGGGTGCAGTATCAGACAGAGGCCGGACTAGGGCTCTTCTACTTCTTCCACATGACGGCCCCACACGTGGCATGTGTGTCTCGCTCTCTGGCTGCAGTCTCTCCAGCCATGTCCCCAGGGTACTGTTTATATTTCTGCCCTAGTCCTCTGCCGTCTTTCACCTGGAAAGGCCTACCTTCTTTCCAAATCCTGCTTCTTCCCCCGTCTGCCTATGACAATTCCTTTTCCCTATTCTTTCTTCTCATCTTTTTTTTTTATTGTCTCCTAATGACCTTTAATTTATTTATTTATTTTTTATTTTTTTTATTAGTTGGAGGCTAATTACTTTACAATATCGTGGCGGTTTTTGTCATACATTGACATGAATCAGCCATGGATATACATGTATTCCCCATCCCGATCCCCCCTCCCACCTCCCTCTCCACCTCTTCTCATCTTTTAAATTCTGGGTTTCTGAAAAAAAATCATCTTGGTTTTCAAACTGTCCTCTAACTTCTCTCCTAAGCTTGGCTTCATTTTCTCCTTCCCTTTAGTCCCACTTTTCCCCTGCATTTCTCCCCAAGCATTCCTTGTATCTTCATCCTTCTGCACAGGCCCAGCCCATACATATTGACTTCCCCTTCTCTGCCCTTGGCTTATTACTTTCAACTTGGAATGGGAGCACTAAAAGTGGCAGAGAAAACTTGGGGGCTCATTTCCTAGAGTGGCACCAACTTCATCAATTGAGACCAGACCTGGGTCAAGCTGGGCTACTTCCAGAAAACCTTCAGCTGCCTCTTGGTGATAAGCATTATCACCCTTAATTTCCACATAAGGACACAGAAGTTCTAAGAGGTGTAGGGACTTGCCCAAGTTAGGTAGCAGAGCCAGGGTTCTAACCTTGTGTTCCTTCAACTACAACATAATTCAGTGCAAATATTGGATCTGCCATTTTTATCACTTCTCTGTACCTTCACTCAAAAGCTCAATGATGTGTTGTGAATATGAGATGATTTGCTTGGTTCATTAGGAATCATCCTAAGAGCTCTTTAGAAGGATGCCCCAGTGCTGACAGCATCTTTTGTCATTTCCTAACTGCAGAATGTATTGCTTGTCTCACCAGTTTCCTTTTGGATTTGAATGTACTTCTCATGGGCACTGTTTTAATAAAGTAACAGTAATCCACTTAAAGAATTTTATTGCTTAAAAACACAGACTAGAAAATCTTAACACAGCTAGAAAAAAATGAACTGACCCAGGGTTTTTGAGGATGTTTTCACAGGCATTTGTTTTTGGTTTCGGCCATGCATCTTGCAGGAGTTCCCAGATGAGGGACTGAACCCTGGCCACACCAGTGAAAAGCCTGGAATCCTAACCAGTAGGCTACCAGGGAACACTCACAGGTATCTGTTTTTTCCTAACCTTTTCTGCTGGGGGTTAGGATGACGAGGCTCAGCATAAGGATAACAGCTCAGAATTTCACCTCTGCTCTAACTATTCCCATAGCTGCCAAATAACAACCAGGCACAATTCTAAAAATATTAACAATGGAAAGAAGATGGCGGCAGCAAGAAATGTCCCCTGAGCAGGAAAGCAGCTGCTAATGGCTGAACAAAGACACCTCACAACTTAGTATCAACTGCTGCCAGGTAGGCACTTAAATTCACTGTGGCGGGTTCTAGCACTTGGCAGAAATGGTTTGACTTTGTTCTGTTTCAGTAAATATTTGAAACAAGCAGAAGAAAAAGCTAAAATCTATGCAGACTGGCTATATAGCCTTCAGGTTATAAAAGACTGTCTCCCTTTGGCAAGCATGGCCAAATTATCTGATGGCACCATAGTAGAGAAGCATTTAAGTAAATCTTAAAACTTTATAAAAAGAAGCCAAGTCTCATAGTTGAGCTGGGTCTTCAGGTCCTACAGAACTAGCAAAAAAAAAAAAAAAACAGGTTCAGAGAAGCAAATACAAATGATTTGCCATAAGGCAATGAAAGGAAAAGAAACAGGCACAGTTTATCTAGACTTCAGTCTGGATGGTGAATTGAAGGCCTGGGTGCCAGGTTGAAGACTCTCCTCACTTCTTCGGGAAGTAGTTCAGTTTTTCCTGTAGATAAATGAGCTGTAGAGAGAGGGAGAAAAAACATGAAAAATTCATCTGAAATCTTAAGTCCCATTACTTTATCTAGAATTTACTTATATAAACCAAATGGAAAGACTGTCATTTGGCATTTATAAGGTTATCTTACTTAGTCTTAAACTGTTAAAAAGAACAGTGCCAATCAACTTTTAAGTTCAGATTCCTTCTATCACTTGCATCTTCCTCTAATCTTTCCCTACTTCAATGTCTCCTACATACTTCTGGCACAGAAATTTTCCTGAGTTACTCTCCAGGTGAAAAATCTTTTAAGGTTTATTATGAACTACACCAAAAATCTAAAGTCTTAAGCCTAGCATCACCACCTCTGAGCCATTGTGCATGCTACTTTCTATACAGAATGCCTTTTTTCTCTATTTCTTTATTAAACCCTGTGTCTGTGTGCTCAGTTGCTCAGTCGTGTCTGACTCTTTGTGACCACATGGACACAAAGACTCCTCTATCCATGGGATTCTCCTGGCAAGAATACTGGAGTGGGTTGCCATTTTGTGCTCCAGGGAATCTTCCCGACCCAGGGATCGAACCCCAGTCTCTTGCATTGGCAGGCTGATTTCTTTACCACTGGGCCACCTGGGAAGCTTATTAAAACGCTACCCACCTCTTAAGGCCCTAAACACCATCTCTCTATGAAGTTTTCTCTAATCTCCATGGACATAAGTGAGCTCTCATTCCTTTAAATTCCTATACCTCTTATGGACTTCTCCCCAACTGGAGACAGAGATTGTGTCATAAGCATTTTGTAGTTCCCTGCAGAACCTAACTTTAAGTAGGCACCCAATAAATCTGTGTTGAATAAATGAGCTAACACAAAGGGCTTCCCTGGTGGCTCAGCTTGTAAAGAATCCGCCTGCCATGTGGGAGACCTGGGTTTGATCCCTGGGTTGGGAAGATCCCCTGGAGAAGGGAAAGGCTACCCACTCTAGTGTTCTGGCCTGGGGAATCCCTATGGACAGAGGAGCCTGGTGGGCTACAGTCCATGGGGTCGCAAAGAGTAAGACATGACTGAGCAACTCAGCACACAGCACACAAAGGACTCTAAGTGAATAAAGAGTACAGCAATAGTTCTATGTTGAAAATAGCACTTCTCCAACATTAACTACTTATATGGAGGAAAATAAAGATGTTTAGTGGGTGTTAAAGCAATCGTGGCATTAACCGTTATATACACATGGTTGTATATAAGCAGTACTTGGGTGAGGGATGTGCCGAGGGGAAGGGCATATACAGAACATGAGAGTTTTCCTGACCTTGTTGGTATGGGGATGGACATGGGGGAATGGCATCACTACCTTAAGAGCCCCATGATAGGGAATTCCCTGGTGGTCCAGTGGTTAGGACTCTGCACTTTCACTGCTGAGGTTCAATGCCTGTCAGGGAACTAAGATTCCCCAAACTGCATGGGGCAGCCAAAAAAATAACTAAAAAGAGCCCCATGCTAAGTCCATCCTCATAATAAGACCACCAGTCTCTTTAAAACCATTATCCCACTCTTAACAGTATAGTGCTAGAACCAGCATACATTTCTGTACAGCTGCTTGACCTTCACTAAGCCCACACTGCCCTCTTCTCTCTTCACTCTGCTCACTCTTTTGGGGCTTTAAATAATGGTCTTTCAAGTTAGAAATCAAGCCTATGCCCTTAACGCTCCCTTCTCCTTCAGTGCTCAGAAACTGACCTGAGTCCCATCAATTCTAACTTAAAAATATATTCTCTCATATATAAATGTTCATAGCAGCATTATTCATGATAACCAAAAGGTGGAAAAAACCCAAGTGTCAACTGATGGATAAGCAAAATGTTGTATATCTGTACAATGGAATATTATTCAGCCGTAATACAGAATCTAGTACTGATACATTCCACAACATGGTTAACATTGAAAAACATTATGCCAAGTGAAAGAAGCCAGACACAAAGACCATGTATTTTATATTTCCTTTTATATGAAATAATCAGAATAGGCAAAGTAGGCTAGTAGAAAGAAGATTGGTGCTTACCTAGAGCTGGGGGGTGGGGATGGGTATGGAGTGTGTGGGAGGGTCAGAAGACATGGGAAGTGACTGCTAATGGGTACAAGTTTCTTTTGGGGTGATGAAAATATAAAATTGATTGTAGTGATGAATGCACAATTCTGTGAACATATTAAAAGTCACTGAATTGTACAATTTAAATGGGTGAATTGTATGGCACAAGAATTTGTATCCCAATAAAAGTTATAAAACATTTTATTGCATTTACAAATATATATATTCTTTCTGAATGAAATAATGCCATTTTCAGCAACATGGATGGATCTAGAGATTATCATATTAAGTGAAGTATAAGTAAGCCAGAGAAAGACAAATATAGTATCACTTATATGTGGAATCTAAAAAATGGTACAAATAAACTTATATACAAAACAAAATAGACCCACAGACATAGAAAGCAAATTTATGGTTACCAAAGGAGAAAGAGTGGGGAAGGATTAATTAGGAGTTTGGGATTAACATATACGTGTTTGTTGCTGTTTAGTAGCTAAGTCGTGTCTGACTTTTGCAATGTCCATGGGATTTCCCAGGCAAGAATCAAACTCACATCTCCTGCTTGGCAGGTGGATTCTCTACCACTGAACCACCAGGGAATTATATATATTATATAATAACTTATAATAATAATATAATATAATATAATAATATATTACATATATTATATAATATATATTATAATATAATATTATTATATAATATATAATTTATAATATTATAAATTATATTAATATAAATTATATTATAATTTATAATAATTTATAATAATATAATATAATAATATATTACATATATTATATAATATATATAATAATAATATTATATAATATATATAATTCCCTGGTGGTTCAGTGGTAAAGAATAAAAATTATATATATTACTATATATAAAATAGATAAACAATAAGGACCAACTGTATAGCACAGGGAACTATACTCAGTATCTTGTAATAACCTATAATGGAAAAGAGTCTGAAAAGAGATGGCTCCAGCGGTAGAGTCCACCTGCAATGTGGGAGACTCAGGAGACTTGGGTTCAATCCCTGGGTCGAGAAGATCCCATGCAGCAGGAAATGGCAAGCCACTCCAGTATTCTTGCCTGGGAAATCCATGGACAGAGGAACCTGGCGGGCTACAGTCCACGGGGTCACAAAGAGTAAGACATGACTGAGCACATGATGGATGGATGGATATATATACACACACATACACACAAATATAACTGAATCACTTTGCTGTACACTTGAAACTGACACAACATTGTAAGTTAACTATACTTCAGTAAAAAAAGAAAAAATATTTATTCTATCTCCATTTCTACCTCCTTATTTTAAGTTACTGTCATCTTTTATTAGACTACAACACAGCCTCCTAACTGCCCTCTCAGCTTCTAGTCCTGTCCTCCCACAATCCATTCTCCAGATATTAATAATCAAAGGAAAAAAAATAATCAAAGGGATCTTTAAAACTTCTAAATTAAATGTGACTTTCCTGATTTAAACTCTCCAAGGTTTTCCATTGCATTTTTAAGACTAAACCCATCCACCTTATCATGGCCTGCAAGGGACCATACAATATGGCCTCTGCATACTTCACCAACCTCACGTTGAGTCACTCCCTTGCTTTAAATTCTTCAGAGGTCCTCAAAGAGACCAAGGTCTTTTCCAATGTGGGACCTGGCATATGCTCCACCCAAGAAGCTTTTCGTATCCTTTTTGCTTGGACTTACCCTTCAGGTCTCAGCTTAAATATCACTTCCCCAGAAAGGCTGATTATGATCCCCCCTCCCAATTTAATTCAGGACTCTCTTTATTCAAAGCACACCACTGACTCTCCTTCACAGCCCTTCTTTATTATTTGCACCTTCATATTTGTATTATAATTTGTTTACTGTTGATCTTCCCTGCTAGACTGTTCGCTCCATTAGGACAAGTATTGTATCTGTCTTATTCAACACTGTGTATATATCCAGTGCTTTTCACTTAATAGGCATTTAATACCTGCTCAATGAGTGAATTTTCACAAAGGCTTTGCTTCAACCTGCTACCTTCATTTAGAAGATTTGGGCCACTACTATTTCTATGAAAAGAACAGCCAGAAATGAGGTTTGGGGATTCTTTGTATCAAACAAATAATTTATTGTATCAAACAAATAATTTTCTGGTTGATGTGAAAACACATTCTCACCCGCTCAGTTTTTTCTTCTTCCTGTAACTTAAACTGCTTCAGCACAGACTGTAAATTATTCTGGAAAGCAAATCATATAAATGATGAATGCTGAGTCTCAAAGGAAAAGAGAATCAAGAGAGACAAAGAGTTTGGCAAATAATTTGATAAATTAAAAAAAAAAACTGTCTGTTGTAACAAAAGACTTTTAAAAAGATTTAGAAAAAGACTGTCTATATGTGTGTAACTGAATCACTTTGTGAAACAGAGACTGGCACAACACTGTAAATCGACTATACTTCAATAAAAAAAATTTAAAAAGGATTTAGAGTATAAAAACTATGCTCTCCAACTACAGGGCCATGTGATTTGGTTTTTTGACCCTACACAACATTTTTTTCTTGCCCTAAAACAAACAGTTGGAATGCCTGCATATTACCTTTCTCTAGCTTAGCACAAATCCTTTGACTGTAGTGAACCATTTAAAAAGCTGGCCTATGACAAAAACCACTACAATATTGTAAAGTAATTAGCCTCCAACTAATAAAAACAAATGAAAAAATAAAATAAAATAAAAAATAAAATCAGGAGTAAGAAAACTAAAAAAAAAAAAAAAAAAAAGCTGGCCTGGAATTTGTTGCTGACTCTTTCATTCCCCTGCACTCGGACAGACTATTATCATTCTTAACTAATACTGCATGCAATAGTAATCACGATATCTGTATCTTTCAAAGTATGTCCACATCTATTATCTCACTTGGTTATTCTGAAGGACAACGCTCTAAATAAGTACAGTTATGTATCAAGTTTCTCCCCTTCAATGACAAAAGCTCTACAGAAAAAGAAATCTGGCAAGAAATTCCCTGAATGCTTCAGAATTTCCTTCACTATAAAAGGGGAAGAAACATGGCCTAGACATACATTTTCCTTTTGCTGAAATGTGTATTAATAAAATATGCATTAATTTGTATTAGTAAAACTCAAGCACGATATTAATTCTTATTCAAGCAGGCATCATGAAATTTAAAAATTAACTTTAATTCTCTTTTGTTGCAATGAATACATTTTGGTACAGAGCAATAGGATTCAGTCTATGCTCTACCACTTACTGTGGTCCCTGGCAAATTACAGAACTTCTTTGAATTTCAATTTCTTATCTATAAAATGGGACTAGTGATAGTACCTGTATTACAGGGATGTCAAGATGAAATGTAGTAACACATGTAAAATGCTTAGCTCTGTGTAAGCCTTTCACATTATTAAATGTTCAATATTGGCAATTATTATTTCAAGTCTGCTGGTCCCTTCCCCCAAATGCTTATATAAGATGAACAAAATCACTCAGGTAAAACAAAATACAGCTATCTTTTATTAGGGATTTCTAAAGAGGTTGCTCAGGTTCATGAATGAACTAGAATGCTGCACAGAGATGAGATGAGTGGAAAACACAGAGATGGGATTTTGAAAGTAAGATATCAAGAGATCTTTATACCATCCAACAAGAATTTACCTTGAGTGTCAGGTTTTCCACTTTCCTGATGAGCTCCTTCTGTCTTTGTGCCCGGCGCTGAATGTCATTGAGCTTTTTCTCCGTGCATTGAGTGTGCTTCTGAATTTCCATGACTAACACAGATAGACAAAAACCTCAGGTATCTACACAAGGCCTAAACTAGTGGACCAAGGTCCAAATCAACTAAAACTCCAGTACATATTTGAGCAATAATTTCTCAAACTTAACTTTGCATTGAATGCAAGTTCAAAGTCAGTCTTTAATACTGGCACCCACTCTGTCCCACCCTTTTGTTTTTCCCTCTAACTTACCCATTGAGCTGGTTCCCTCCTTTGCCTCATAGTGGCCATAGTCAATGAACCTGGCCTGTAGCTCCCTTTCTATATCCTCATCATAATAATCTTCCTCCTCTTCATCATCACAGTCCTCCTCCTTCTCATCAACAGCCTCAGTGTTATTGCTAGAATCATTGCACATCTTCTGAAGCACATGATATTCTAAGGGTTTTAAAAAAGAGGAAGGTGAAACCATTTGAAGCTTTTCAAATGACTCCCACTCCAGCTGCAATTATCCTTCCCCTCAAGTTTACTGGGCAGCCAATGAATTTCATAAATAATTTTTCTCACAAGAAGATGATTCCCTTTATAAAACAAGGACAGAAAATACAAAACAGTATAAGATTCGTTCATGTATTCAATGATCAAAATATTTAGACAACCCAAGGGCCCATAAGAATTTTAGAATAGCAGTGATGGATGGGATATTAGAACCCCAATATAAAACCCCTTAACTTGAGGGACCAATAAGGGGCAAGAAGGGTAAAGGCATCCATTTTTTTGTGATTGGCCTGTGAGTCTGTGGAGAATGGGCCTACACACAGTCAATACTTGTTCTCTCTGAATCGTCTGCTTTGCTTTTATTATCGTACCTGGTAAGGTATGACCCTGCTTGTAGTCATTCATTCCTGAGGCTATCGCATTTCTAGGAATGGAGCCTTGACATTCTATTTTCTTTCCATCGTCAGCAATGACCTCCCACCCTAAAAGGGGAGGAAGTCAAGGAAAAGGCAGAAAGAAAGAAGACAGTGTTGAAAGGGAAAAGGCTCTCTGTCTGAAAGTGCTATTTAATTTAGTCCAACTTCAGGCCATTTGTAGCTGGATTCCTAGTATGGATAAGCATTTTATACTGAATTACACAAGTAAATGATTTCTATTACATGATTTGTACTGTTCCTAGCTAGAAAGTAACATTACCCCAAATTCTAAGTTCTATACATTAACGTCAGCACACAAATACCAGAAATGAGGGCTTGTCACCAAGTGCATTTGGGGTGGAACAAACTGCACAGGAAATATTTAGTATGAAAGGATACGGGTATTGACAGCTTCGGCATCTGCACACAGCAGTCTTTTCACTTCCTTTTCCACATCAGGAGATTCAATGTGCTGAACCAGAGTAGGGAAAGAAGGAATACCAGTAATGTCATTTAACACCCTGTGTTTGGCAGGAATGGCCTTTTACTACATAGGAACGAATTCAAAATTTTAGGCTTCTTTTAAGATACATCCAATCAAATTTCTACTTTAAACAATGCTATTTATGAAGAAAACTTTGATCAGGGTCTATATTTTTGTACAGCAAGCTTAATTTTTCCCAATCAATTACTTGAGACATTTAATCTTTTCAATCTGCAACTCTATATTAAAGACTCTCTCAGAAGTACCACCCTTAAGTCTCAGTTGTTAATTATTTGCATTGACCCGTACTAGCAAAGAACTATGATTTTTTGCTATTTAGAAGTAATTTTGCGTAAAGACCCAAATTCCCAGATTCTACTTTCCCACATCTTTATTATTAGAGAGTTTCCTATAAAAACAGGACCTTAGCCACACATTCTCCCTTAAATCCAGTTTTAGACAATTATCTCCATGGCAACCAATTCATCATGCCACAAATAGAAATTGGAACTTTGAGGGGGAATAAGCAATTGCAAAAAACTTCTGGTAAAAGTGAACTCTGGCTTCCAAGAAAATTTTTTAAAATAACTATCACAGAAAAGAAGCATATTAAGATACCAAGATTACTGACCAAATTGCATCTTCTGCTCTAGGAGTTGTCAAACATTAAACAATGAATTCTTCATTTTTCAGTGAATCAAATTCAGTCTATGTGTATGGGAGTGGGGGTTACAGGTGAGAAGGAAGCCTCAAAAGTAAACTTGATAATTTGGGGGGTTTGTTTGAAATTAAAAGCTGCAAAATAAAATCCACTATAGGTAAACAATAAGGTTATATTATGCTTTGTCTACCTCAGAAAGGTTCATTTCTTCAATTTGTTTGAAATCAGGAAGCTATGAAAGAGAACACAGTAAATGATGAAGTTATATTAAAATTGTTCTATTTTACTAAAGTTTAAAGAGTTCTAGACCCATTCTTAATGTAGTTTTCTATTTAGTAGACAAATAGATGCTCTAGACTTAACAGTATAAAGCCAAGGCAACTGTGTTCATAGATTAATCATAGTAAAACTATCAATTCTTCCTAAACTGATCTATAGGTTTAATGCAATTCCTATCAAAATTCCAACAAAGTTTTCTGTAATACACGACAAACTTATTCTAAAATGTATATGGAAAGATACAGGCTCTAGAATGGCTATAATAATCTTGAATAAAAAATAAAATCAATCTTCCTGATCCCAAGACTTATTACAAAGCTACACTGTGGAATTGGTGATCAACACACAGATTAGTCGAACAGAATGGGAACCCAGGAAAAAAACCCACACAAATATGCCCAACTTATTTTTTTTTTGCCCAACTTATTTTTGACAAAGGTGCAGAAGCAATACAATGGACAAAGGGCAGCCTTTTCAACAAATGGTGCTGGAGATTTTGCACATGCAAAGAAAAAAAAAAAAGAAGAGTCTTGAACTAACCCTCAAGTACAAAAATTAACACAAAAATAGATTGCTAACTTAAATGTAAAACTTTTTTTAAAAATAGGAGAAATCTTCAGGATCTGGGCTAGACAAATAGTTCTTATAATGGACATGAAAAACAAGATCCTTAAAAGAAAAAAAATCAATAAATTGGACTTCATCAAACAAAAATCCTTAGCTCTTTGAAAGACCCTGTGAGGAAGTTGAAAAGACAAGTTACAGACTGGGATAAAATATTTGAAAACCACTTATCTGACAGAAAACTAGTATTTAGAATATAAAAAAGAACTTCTCAAAACTCAACAATAAAAACAATCCATTTAGAAAACAGACAAAAGGCATGAACAGACACTTCATTGAAATGGATATACAGATGGAAAACAAGTACCTGAGAAGATGCTCAACATCATTAGCCACGAGGGAAAAGCAAATACCACAGTGAGATCACCACACATCTATCAGAATGACTAAAATTAAAAACTAGCGACAACACCTAATGCTGGAGAGAAATTGGATTGTGTGAACATTGCTGGTGCTAATGTAAAATGGTGCAGCCACTCTGGAAAATGCTATGGATAGTTTCTTATAAAACTAAATATGCAACATATCCAGTAATTATACTCCTGGGTATTTATGCCAAAGAAATGAATACTTATGTTCGCACAAAAACCTCTTGGCAGCTTTATTTATAACAGTCAATAACTGTAAACAACCCAGATGTTCTTCTATGAGTGAACAATTAAGCAAACTATGGTATATTCATAACACAGCCTACCACTCAGCCATAAAAAGGAAGGAACTAGTCATATATGCAACAGTCTGCATGGACCTTAAGGGAATTAATCTGAGTGGAAAAAAAACCTAGTCTCAAATATTATACTTTGTATGATTCCACTTATATGACATTTTCAAAATGACAAGATTATAGAGATAGAGAACATATTAGTGATTAGCGGGGGTTAGAGCCTGGTGGTGGGGTTTGGAGGGAGGTGGGTGTAGCTTTCAAGGGCAAGATGAGGGATCCTGGTGGTGACAATACTGTTTGGTATCTTGATGGTATAGGTAGATACACCAACATACACATGGGATAACTGCATAGAACTAAACACATGCAAGGACTTCCTTGGTGGCTCAGTGGTAAAGTATCTGCCTGTCAATGCAGGAGACACAGGTTCGATCCCTGGGTCGGGAACATCCTCTGGAAAAGGAAACGGCAACCTACTCCAGTATTCTTACCTGGGAAATCCCTTGGACAGAGAAGCCTGGCAGGCTACAGTCCATGGGGTTGCAAAGAGTCAGATATGCCTTAGTGACTAAACAACAACAACAAACACATGCACACACATACAGAGGAGTACAAGTAAAACTGGAGCAACTTGAAAAAGATTAGTGAATAGTGATAATGTCAATTTCTTGTTTGTGATATTGTACTATAATTTTGCAAAAAGTTACAATGGGAAAAACAAGGTCAAGGGTACATAGTATCTCTTTTTTATTGCTTACAATTGCATGTGAATCTACAATTATTTCAAAATAAAAATTTTAATTAAAAAAGAAGCCAAGGCATAGTACTCTTGTAGTTTTCCCAGGGTTCTACAAATCTGAGGTAAGGTTAGAAATACAACCACATTTCCCAATTCTCAGGTTCTGGCTGAGTTCACTTTAAAATAAGAAAAGTTGGAAACATTTGAAAGCATTAGCAGAAGTTTCAAATTCATGACACATCTAGATTCCTAAACACTAGCCTTATCAAGAGTCCAGTCTGTTTTTGTTCATTACATATTTCCATTTGTTAACACACAGTCATGTTGCTCACACTCAATAAATGTTTACTGGACATATAAGTGAGTGAACAAATGAATATCCGACTGACTGTCTCACTCCCTCCCCCCCATAATCCTCTTCCAGTCCACCCAGAAGACACAGAAATTGCATGCCACAAACCTTTTTTGTTGTTTTGCGGAACCTTCTCCTTCTGACATTCCTAAGTGGTGGAGTAACTGAAAAAAATTCAACGTGGTGAAATGTGTATATGATTGATGCTAGTCACATAGCTATCTGAATTGGACAGAGAAAGCGCACACTATAAGCTACAGGCTCATGACATGACTTGTTCTTTTAAGAGTGTCTAGATGGCTCCTGAACCAAATACCTAAGTGTGACAACAGATCCCTGGCTCACAAGTAATCAGAACTCAGCAGATAAATGTAGCTAGCCAGAATGAGCAAGGGACTGTTGTTGACTTACTGCCATGCTTCCAGGTATATTTCTTCTGTCTCTGCTTTTCAGTTTTCCTGATTGCTTTAGGATCAGTAGAGGTTACTGGTTCTTCAGGAGAAGAGTGAACATCAGCATCAGCAGTGCACACAAGCATCTACATTTAACAAAGACAAAGAAGTTGACTATGGCTACAAATCTTCAGTTAGTAATGGATCATGACCATTCTTACCACCAGAAATCTTGGGGCACAGAAGGAGAATGTTACTTGGAATTTCCAGAAAACCAAGTATTACACAGACTCATATTCATTCCCTCTCTATCTCAGAAGCACTACATATGGACGCTGAGGGGTTTTTGTTTTGTTTTGTTTTTTGCTCGAGTGCTTACCACTGCAGAAGGAATATGGCTGAAAAAAAAAGATATATCTTAGCATTTTGCTTTAGAAAGAAAACCAAAAAATCAACAGTAAAGATGATCAACAAGAACCAGTGTAAACCTCCAGAGCTAGCAGGAAGTTCAGACGAAGATCTCAGATGTTCATGCTTTTCAAATAATGGTAAATGGCAAACAGGAGGCTCTAAAAGCTATTAGTAAAATTAAGTAGTGAAAAGTGATGGATCAAACACCAAACTAGCACATGACATTGTATTCCTGTGCAATTGAGTTGGAAATTAGAAATGACAAACAGGTGAAAGGAGAATTGAAAGAAAGAAAGAAAAGGAGGGAGAAAGGAAATCCTAAAAGGATATAAGGGTGAATAGATTAAGAAAGCTTGTCCATACCTGGGAAACATCTGCCGTTTTATAAAAAGTTTTTCTATCCAGAGTTTTTAGGCTTCCGATAACACAAGGCAAATCAACCATCTTAGCAGCTAGTGAGACATTGCCTACCTCAACAACCGCACGACGTGTGTCAGCTGAAGAAAAGTAGAAAAAATTAAAGTTCACATCTTCCCAATGTACTCTTAAAACTGATGGTTTGAATAATGAAGACTTATGTGGGACAGACGAGTCTTTCATTAAAACATTATTTCTCATAATGCTAGAATTGGGTACACAATTATCAACTTCCCAGAGCAAAGAAAGTGGAGTATATGGAGCTCTTTTTTTTCCAGTTTATGTCACTCAATCAAAAGTAGATTAAGTTTCTTGGTAATGGTTGTGAACTAAAAGCGAATGAAGCAGTAAATCTTTCATTCTCATCTTGAAAGGCCAACTTCATTCGTTCAAATCCATTCATTTGGACATTGTTAGGAGCACTCGATCATGTCACTGAATGTGGGTGTTTTCAAAGGGAAGGGTTGATTCTAGGATAGTACTAATAAGTCTCAAGTTATAATCTCTAGTTAAAGTCACAAAGGTAAAATTTTATACAAAAGCCAGAGAGAGAGAGAGAAACAATCAATCATACACTACCTGAGTGCTGGGATTATGGGCCATTTTAAATTTTATTCTTCACATACCTCTCCGTATTTAAAAATCTAATAAACACTATAAAGACATGTCACTTTTGTGAACAAAAAATAGTAAATTCACTTGTTATTCCCCTAGACAGTCAGAAAAACTTGCGTCTAGGAGACAATCACCAGTACGTAAATCCCACAGTTGACCTCAAAGTTCTTTTTTATACACACCATGATAATTACCTCAAGTTTTATGCAAGTTCTATTTTCTTTCCTCTTAAAAAAAGAGGAGATGCGAGTGACTGAAGCGTCTCTGAGTTCATCAAGGCAGAGACCACATTGTATTCTTTGCCACATCTTGGGCATCTAATACTATGCTTGACACACAGCAATCCATTAATGAATTACTGTTCAATGTATGGTGAATGGATATTAACTACTTACAAAGGAAGTCAATTTTTAGTTTATTCTTCATGGAGGAACTTCCAGAATGCATCATCTTTCTGACAGTGGAAGCATGTTCCTAAAAAGGAGGTAAATTGAGAAATCAGAAGGATCAACTGTCAACTTAGCAGCTAATAGAAAGATATGTCAGAGACAGTCCTTCTTTAAATAAAACTTTAAACTTCTCACACGTTAGGAAGAGTGCCATGTGATACTGTGCACTGTGAAGTCAGGTTAGGAAGAGGTTGACTCTAATCTCACTATTGTCTCTTAGTAGCTACAGATAACACCTTCTCCTAGCTATACATTCCTGGTTTTCACTGTTACCCTTCAGTTGTAGTTGCTAAGGGAAGGCTTAGCTGCAGTTTACTGGGTATATTTGTTGTTGTTGTTCAGTCGCTCAGTCATGTCCGACTAATTATAGGGTATATTAATTAACCCTAAGTGGGGAAATACCTTTCTGAAGCCCATCCTTACTATACCTTTCTTAGACTAAATAATACTTGAACACAGGTATCAACGGGGGAAAGAAACCCTAACACAATGTTGAGGTGAGCTTTGACAGCCTCCCATGGTGATGAATCTGAGGAGACAGTCCTGAACACTCGACTTCCCCTTTTGAGGTGACAGAAAAGAACTCTATTTTAAAAGAATCCTGTCTTGGCTGTCCAGTGAGCAAAGCTCTTAGCATCGGTGATAAGTGACTAAGTCCATCATCGTCCTACCCGTTTGCCAGGAAATCAACCAGGAAGATAAGTGGCATGTGCAGGATGAAAGAAATACTGCTTAAAAGAGTACATGCTGGGATAGAACTGCCAACAGAACACAACTCCTGGGAAACAAATGTTCTTGGTTTTATAGCCTATCTTAAATAAAGAGAAATATTTAAGAATCCAAGCAGAGCTAATACTTAGGCACTGACGATATTTGTTCTGAGATACAAGGGTTTCTTACCATAGGCAGACGCAGTATAAACTGGTTCTCAAGTTCGTGAGGAGGTTCATCCTGGCTTCTACTCATCTCTTCTTTTTTGAGTTCACCAAACCAGAAATAAAACCAACAGAAAGTTACTAAAAACTCCTCTTGCTCCCTCTACCGACCACTTCTGGTAGTACTGGTTAAATTATACAATATCTTGCTAATAACCCTCACTGGAATGATGTGTATACAGCTTCGAAACACCTTATTTGATATATCTTGATTATTTCTAAAAGCCACCTTGCAAGCATGTGAACTAAGTTGCTTCAGTCATGTCCAAAGATTTGCGACCCTATGGGCCATAGTCTGCCAGGCTCCTCTGTCCATGAAATTCTCCAGGCCAGAATACTGGAGTGAGTTTCTATGCCCTCCTCCAGGGGATCTTCCCCACCCAGGGATCGAACCTGTATGTCTTATGTCTCCTGCATTGGCAGGTGGGTTCTTTAACCACTAGCACCACCTGGGAAGCTACACACACACACACACACACACACACACTATGACATATGGGCCACACACACACATGCGTGCACACACACACTATTACATACGGGCTTCCCTCGTGGCTTAAGTGGTAAAGTATCCACCTGGCAATGCAGCAGCCGCAGGAGATGTGGGTTCAATTCCTGGGTCAGGAAGATCCCCTGGAGGAGGAAATGGCAAGCCACTCCCGAATTCTTGCCTAGAAAATCCCATGGACAGAGGAGCCATGGACAGAGGAGCCTGGCATGGGGTCACAAACAGTCAGACACGACTGAGCACACACTCATGCACGCACGCACGTGCACACACATGGGCTTCCCTGGTGGTTCAGCTGGTAAAGAATCTGTCTGCAATGCAGGAGACCTGGGTTCAATCCCTGGGTTGGGAAGATCCCCTGGAGAAGGGAATGGCTATTCACTCCAGTATTCTGGCCTGGAGAATTCCATGGACTGTATAGTCCATGGGGTCACAAAGAGTCGGACACAACTGAGCAACTTTCACTTTACTTCATACACACACATAAAATACACCCTCTGTAAAGTGAATAATCTCCAAGTTAATCTTCATTTTTTCATCTTATTTTAACTTCTATTTGAGATACATCTGTAATGGCTTGCATTTTGGGTTTCAGGGTTCACACTACCTCTGAGGAATATTTTCTCAAAAATGGAAATAAAGCCATGTACATGTATGAAATCTGACAAAGTTTTCTTATGTTCTAAGGACAATATGCTATACACCAAGTTATAAAATCTTATACTTTTAAGTTAGACAAAAAGCTCTGGATAATGTACAGTTCCTAATACTCTGTAAACCATTAATTGAATTCTGAGTTTTTTATTCAAATCTCACTTAAAAGCAATGGAAACGTTTTTTAAAAAGCACACACAAGTGAATATAACAAAAAAGAAGCAGACTCACAGATACACAGAACAAATTAGTGGTTACCAGTGGAGAGAGGGAAGGGGAAGGGGAAATTTAGAGGTAGCAGATTAAGAGGTACAAACTGTTAGGTATAAAATAAGCTACAGGAATATACTGTACAACATGGGGAATGTATACAATATTTTATAATAATAAACAGAACATAGCCTTTAAAACTGTCAATCACTATATTGTACACTTGTAACATATAGTACTGTGTATCATATACTTCAATAAAAGAAGAAATTGGAAGGGGGGGACAAAGAATATTTAACATTATCAGTTAACATAGAGAAAAAGAAAAAAAAACAAAAACCATATACAAGTGAGTCTGAGACCCTTTTATAGGTAAATCATTCACCAGTCAGTCCTTTAGGTTGACTTCAGAAACTACCAGAAGAGCACAGGAGCACAAGAGAAATCAAGAACTGAAATGAGACATCCAGGATGAGACAGCAAGGGAAGGGGGAGGGAGACAGAAAGAAAAAGGGAAAAAGGGACTGATGATTTGTGGTAGTCATTTCTTTCTTTTTCCTGCTTCATACAGTTATACAAACAGATGCACACATAAATACAAAAACTAAATGTAAAGGTAAGGGGAAAAGTTAATTAAACAAAAAACCTTGGAACTGGATACACTGCTTAATATAAAAGCAACAAACATTTATGATAGGGAGCAGAAGTACAGATTTACAGAAGTAGCAGAAGTACAGAAGAACTAGCTGCTAAGCAAGATTTTATCAGATCAGTAGTAACTTTTAGATTTCCCAGCAGAACTAAGACTAGGGCATTTTGTTTGTTTCAGTGCCTTTCTGGCAACTCCTCTCTTACGAAAGAAAGAATGTAAGAACTTGGAATCATTTCAAAGAAGGTAAACACCCTTAATTGAAATGAGTTTTAATGATTTTTTTTTTTTAAGATCTGCTACCTGAAAATTTGGCTTAGACAGTAAAGAATCTGCCTGCAATGCAGAAGACCCAGGTTCGATCCCTGGATCGGGAAGATCTCCTGGAGAAGGGGATGGCTTCCTCACTCCAGTAGTCTTGCCTGAAGAATTCCACGGACAGAGGAGTCTGGCGGGCTACAGCCCATCTGGTCGCAAAGAGTGGGACATGACTGAGTGACTAACACACTTTCACTTTATACAATGAACTGGTTTTATCATCTTCAAGAAAAGGCATCCACTTTTTTGCAGCAAGCACTCTTTGATACCGAATTAAATTAACAGGACTGCACTCCATCATTCTCTCTCTCTCATGCACGCGTGTGCGCGTACACACACACACACACACACACACACACACAGCTCCATCTCATTTCACCAGAATTACAATTGGAATTAGAATTATAGCTAGATTTAGAGTACCTGATCCCGTGCTCCCAGCAGCACAACTCAGCACAAGCCTAAGCTGGTACTTTCTCAAGTTCATTGCCGATGGCTGCAGTCTGGAGGCAATGACCACTCCATCCTTATCCAAGGGAGGGCACTAAGCTCCCAAGGGCAGAGCGCGGCTCTGAGTCTTTGATCCCATTTCCCTAGAAAATCTCTCTCGGGTCCAAGGGGCCCTAAGCCTTAGCGTCACCCCAGGCCAGCTTGGAAGGGAAGCACAGCGCGAAGTCCTTTGGTGCCCATCATGGCCCTTTGACCGCCGGACTCACCCGCTCCTCCGCTGATTGGCGCCCGGACCGCCTCTCTGCCCAGAGGGTTTCCAGAGGGCTAGCTGGCTCCCAGGCTGCGTCCCGTGTTGGCGGGATGCAGGCGACCGGCTGACTTTGTAGCCACAGGTAGGAGCCTTGCATGCCACCCCTCCCCACCTCACCACGCCTCCTCCACCGCCAGCCCAGCGGACTGGAGGGTGGCCTCGAGGCGGCGGCCAGCTCGCCGCATGCCTGGGAGGGGCGGCACGAAAGGTTCTGATCGGCGCGGGGACACAGCCGCTCCGGGGCCTCACGGAACAAGGCTGCAGAACAAACACCCTTGACCCAGGAACGACCCTTGGAACGGCCGCGGGAGTTTTGCCAGTACACAGTGATATCTGTACAAGGGCCAGCACATCGGTTGCACTGCAGAATCCATTGGGTTGGACGGATTTGTTCCTCAGAGAGGTGACCTCGCCTGGTGACAAATACACCGACGCGCAAACCCATTAAATAACTAGAATCCGAGTCCCAACTACTCTAACGGAATTAGCTTATCCCTTCTCAACGAGGTCACTATTTTACGTCTTTTGCACAAGAGAGAGAAGGTAGTCCGTTTATTTTTCTTAAACCGGCGTTGCAGTTCAAACAACTTCTAATAGTTCGTTTCTCTCAAAGATACTTAGAGGAAAAAACATCTTACCTTTCTCTTGGGGTAAGTTTTCCATAGAGGCTTGGGCAGCAGCCTGGGTGCCAATGGCGGCAATGGCGTCATCACCGTGAGCGTCAGCAGCAGGAGTTTGGATGCCTTTGTCACTAGCAGTTTGGGCTCCATGATAGCCAGAAGTTTCAGCTCCATGGTCAGTAGGAATTTGGGAATCTTGGAGGCTCATTACTCCCAATGTTGGATTAAATTCTGAGAAACTGGGGGACGTGCCTCAGGGAGCTCTCTGGTCTATATCGTTGAGACTGTAAAATGGCTTCCTGTTGCGTCATGAGACCTAAAAGACGCCAGGGTTTCCTAAAATGATGTCAGAGATATCCCCCTTAAAGACACAGGGGTAATATTAGAAATATTATGGGGTGCCCGTTAGAAGATGATGTCTCTGTTGCCTTCACTTATCTAAACTTCATGGTAAGAAATAAATATATTTAGAAAACTATTTGTTGTATCCTCATTTCTTCTGGATATGCAATTTTTTTCCTTCAGTGAAGCTAAATTGCCAAAACTTCAGATCTAGACAGAACCGTTTTTGTCCCTTTGAGAATTCAGCCACTGAAGTTTAGCATTATTTGGTGGGGGTACATTGAGGATTGCAATACAAAATGGACCGATGAAACTAGTTTTTTATTTACTGTAGAAAATTATTGATGGCATTTATTATATCAAAAAGAATTATTTAATAATAATTCAAAGGAAAATTATTTTCCATAACTGAGGTAGTTAAGTAATTGTGTGTTTAGAATCCTATGGACAGTGTGAATTATGTAATTAACTTTCCTTTCTATGGCTGCTAGGAAACTCAGACCCAATTTCCATCCACCTCTTAACAACTGTGAACCTTACTGGCATATGTTGATAGGTCCCTTGTCTTAAATAAATAATCACATTCTTTCCTAATCCCTAATTATTTTTATCTGGTGTGGTGTCATTCATTTTAATGGCTGAGTAGTATTCCATTGTACCACATCTTCTTTATCCATTCCTCTGTGGGTGGACATATAGGTTGCTTCCAAGTCTTGGCTATTGTAAACAGTGTTGCAATGAACACTGCAGTGGATGTATCCTTTTGGACCATGTTTTTCTCCAGATATATGCCCAGGAGTGGGATTGCAAGGTCATATGGTAGCTCTATTTTTAGTTTTTTGTGGTACCTCCATACTGTTCTCCATAGTGGCTGTACCAATTTACATTCCCATCAACAGGGTAGGAGGATTCCCTTCTCTCCACACCCTCTCCAGCATTTATTGTTTGTGGATTTCTTGACAATAGCCATTCTGACTAGTGTGAGGTGATATCTCATTGCAGCTTTGATTTGCATTTTTCTAATTAGCCATGTTGAACAGGTGCCTGTTGGCCATCTGTATGTTGTCTTTGGAGAAATGTCTATTCAGGTCTTCTGCCCATTTTTTTAGTGGGTCATTTGTTTTGATGCTGTTGAGCATCATAAGCTATTTGTAAGTTTTGGAGACTAATCCCTTAATGGTCACATCATTTGCAAATATTTTCTCCCAATCTGTGGGTTGTCTTTTTGTTTTCTTTGTTGTTTCCTTCGCTGTGCAAAAGCTTTTGAATTTAAGTAGATCTCCTCTGTTTATTTTTGCTTTTATTTCCATTATTCTGGAAGATGGATTGAGAAAGGTGTTGCTGTGATTTGTGTTTTCTTCTAGGAGTCTTATAGTGTCCAGTCTCACATTTAGGTCTTTACTTCATTTTGAGCTTATTTTTGTGTATGGAGTTAAAGAATGATCTAATTTCTTTTTTTTTTTTTTACATGTGGCTGTCCAGTTTTCCCAGCACCATTCATTGAAGAGATTGTCTTTCCAACATTGTGTAATCTTGCCTCATTTGTCATAGATTAATTGACCATAGGTGCATGAGCTTATTTCTGGGTTTTCTATCCTGTACCATTGATCTATATTTCTATTTTTGCACCAGTACCATACTGTTTTGATGACTGTAGCTTTGCAGTATAGTCTGAAGTCAGGGAGGCTGATTCCTCCAGCTCTGTGTTTCTTTTCCAAGATTGCTTTGGCTATTTGGAGTCTTTTGTGTCTCAAGACAAGTTTTGAGATTTTTTTTTTTTGTTCTAGTTCTGTGAAAAATGCCATTTGAGATGGATTGCATTGAATCTGTAGATTGCCTTGGGTAGTATAGTCATTTTGACAATTGATTTTTCCAATCCACAAACATGGTGTATCTTTCCATATGTTTTTGCCTTTTTCAATTTCTTTCATTAGCATCTTGCAGTTTCGGAGTATAGGTCTTTTGTTTCCTTAGGTAGGTTTATTCCTAGGTATTTTATTCTTTTTGATGTGATGGTAAATGGAATTGCTTCTTGACTTTCTTTCTGATCTTTCATTGTTATGTATAGAAATGCAACAGATTTCTGTGTAGTAATTTTGTAACCTGAAACTTTACCAAAGTCACTGATGAGTTCTAGTAGTTTTCTGATAGCCTTTTTAGGATTTTCTACCTATAGTATCATATCATCAGCAAACAGTGATAGTTTAACTACTTCTTTTTCAATTTGGATTCCCTTTACTTCTTTTTTTTTCTCTGCTTGCTGTAGCTAAGGACTTCCAAAACTATGTTGAATAAAAGTGGTGAGAGTGGACATCCTTGTCTTGTTCCTGATCTCAGGGGGAATGCTTTCAGCTTTTCACCATTGAGTGTAGTGCTAGTTGTAGGTTTGTCATATATGGCCTTTATTATGTTGAGGTATGTGGAGTTAGTTGGTTTTTATCTTTTGCTGTTGGTGAGTTGTAGGCATTCTTCATATATTCTATAAACTAATCACTTATAATATATATGCTTTGAAATTATTCTCCTCCATTCTGTGGATTGCTATTTCATAATCATGATAGAATCCTTTGGCACACAATTAAAAAAATTTATGGCATCTAACTTATTTTTTCTTTTGTTCCCTGTACCTTTGGTGTTATATCCAAGAAATTGTTGCTGAAACCAATATCATGAAGATTTCCCCTACGTTTTCTTCTACAAGTTTTATAGTTTTGTGTCTTATATTTAGGTCTTTGATTCATTTTGAACTAACTTTTCTGTGTGGTGTAAAGTTAGGGTCCAACTTCATCCTTTTGTATGTGGACATCTTATCCAGTTTTCACAAAACCATTTGTTGAAGAGATTGTCCTTTCCCCTACTGAGTGGTCTTGGCACTCATGTGGAAAATCAACTGACCATATCAATTAATATACAACAAAGGAGGCAAGAATATACACTGGAGAAAAGATAGTCTCTTCAATAAGTGCTACTGGGGAAACTGGACAGCTGCATGTAAATTAATGAAATTAGAACATTCTTTAATACCATACACAAAAATAACTCAAAATGGATTAAAAACCTAAAGGTAACACTGGATACTATAAAACTCCTAGAGGAAAACATAGGCAGAACACTCTTTGACATAAGTCACAGCTTTTTTTGGATCCATCTCCTAGAAAATGAAAACAAAAATAAACAAATGAGACCTAATTAAACACATACACTTTTGCACAGCAAAGGAAACCATAAACAAAATGAAAAGACAACCTACGAAATAGGAGAAAATATTTGCAAATAATGTGACTGACAAAGGATTATTTTCCAAAATATGAAAACAATTTCCAAGCTCAATATAAAAAATGAGCAGAAGACCTAAATAGACATTTCTCCAAAAACCATCTCCCAGATGGTCAACAGGCACATGGAAACATGCTCAAAATAACTAATTATTAGAGAACTGAAAATCACAAATACAATGAGCATGGTACTCATACTGGCCAGAATGGCCATCATCAAAAAGTCTACAAATAATAAATGTTGTTATCATCTGCTAGTTCCATTTGTACTCCCCAAGGACAGAGTTATGATCAGCAGAATGCTTAAAAAACATTCTGAATGTGATTCGTTTTCCTTTAGGGAAACCTCAGTCTTCTGGATTTTTCAAATGAGAATTAAATCTATTAAGTACTGCCCTGGTTTTTCACTAGCAATAAATGTCAGATTTTCTGTTATTGTCAAAAAACAAATAAACAAAAGGAAGCAAAAAACAAAAAAATAAATGCTGGAGAGGGTGGAGAAATGAGAACTCTCCTGCAATGTTGGTGGGAATAAAAAGTGGTGTGGCCACTATGGAGAACAGCATGAACATTCTTTTAAAAGCTGAAAGTAGAGTTATCATACGGTGCTTCCCAGGTGGCTCAGAGGTAAAGAATCTGCCCATAATGCAGGAGATGCGGGTTTGATCCCTGGGTTGGGAAGATCCCCTGAAGGAGGGCATGCAACCCACTCCAGTATTCTTTCCTGGAGAGTCCCATGGACAGAGGAGCCTGGTGGGCTACAGTCAATAGGGTCAGAAAGAATTGGACATGACTGAAGCAATTGAGCACACATGCATGCACAGAGAGTTACCACATGATCCAGCAATCCCAGTCCTGGGAGTATATTTGGAAAAGATGAAAATTCTAAATTTGAAAAGATACATGCACCCCAATGTTCATAGCAGCACTATTATTACAGTAACAAAGACATAAATAACAAGCAACATAAATGTTGATATATATGTAATGGAATATTACTTGGTCATGAAAATGAACGAAATAGTGCCATTTGCAGCAACATGGATGGACCTGGGGTTATCCTACTAGTGAAGTCAGAGCAAGACAAATATCATGGTATCACTTAGATGTGGACTCTAAAAAATGATAGAAATGTATTTACAAAACAGAAATAGATTACAGACATAGAAAACAAACTTATGGTTACTAAAAGAGAAAGGGAGGGGAAGAATAAATTAGGCACCTAGGATTAACAAATATACCCTACCATACATAAACAATAAGAACCTACTATATAGAACAGGGAACTATATTCAATATCTTATAATAACCTATAATGGAAAAGAATCTGAAAAAGAATATATTGTATATATTGTACACTGTTCTGAGTAGCATGGTGAAATTTCAGAATATATATGCTTATACATGTAGCATAATACGCTCCAGGTCCATCCATGTTGTCACAAATGGCAGGATTTCAACCTTTTTGTGACTGAGTAGTATTCCATTGTATATATATTCAACATCTTCCTTATCCATTCATACATTGATGGACACTTAGGTTGGCTACTGTACATAATGTTGCAGTGAACACGGAGGTGCATGTACCTTT